CTGTACTAACATCTCCAAGCATATCAAGGTATGCAAGGGCATAAAGCTGCCAGAGACGCGCAGCGAGATCCGGAAGAAGTCATGGGAAAAGAATCGCGCTAAACGCGTAGGCTTCCAGCGCGACCAGCGCGCAGCCAAGTTTTTCAAGGAATTACAAGGTACCATAAAATTAAATTCAATATGTTTGAGATTATTATGATATCTAATACTTTGCTGTTGATTAGATATTCGCGCACAGCTACGGGAAGCAGAAGGAACGCCAGCTTTACCCCAACCTAAGCCGAAAGGGATGTCAGGCCATCCCCTCGAGGTGCTCAGCCTTCATCCAGGCCTCTTTGAGCACGCGTTTGCCAAGGTACGCGCCAATAATATTTATAATGCAGGTATCCATCGGTAATGCTATGATGTTCTAGGCTGAAAAGCACGAATTGCTGTCGAAGAAATGGTTTCATGCGCTGCTGCTGTTCTTGCATCCGGACAAAAGCCATCATCTTCCCCTAGAGTGGCAAAATGCACAGAACTACACTGCGGTTCGGGAGAGCTTTAAGCTTCTCCCACAATATAAGGAGGACATGGAAGAAGCGAGTACACGCACGGTTTACGAAGAGCGGGTTCGTATCGAGAAATATCGACTCTATCTTCAGACGAAGTTCAAGCAACGGTTCAACAACTGAGAAGCGAAATGCAAGGAAATACGCGATGCTAAAATGTCGGAGGCGAAGGAAGGACTGGTCAAGTTTGCAGAATATGCGGATTGTGTTTCATTTGATGACTTCAAAGTCATTTACTATGCTCGCTTCTTGGAGAAGGACAAGGCGTACGTAATCAAGAAGAAGGCCAAGCTGGAGCAAGCGGCAAGCGACATCCGATTCCTCAAAACCTTTGGTGCGGAATCGTAAAGTGACGAAGAGTAAAAATTAAAAACTTTTTTTTTGTTATGAAGAGTTTGAAAAGTGCGAGCTTAAACTACGCGATAAAACGAATGCAAGTACTAAGACAAGATCGTAACCACTAGTACAAACGGCAAGATCGAACTACTATAAACAACAAGACTAAAGTACTACTATGACAAGACCATAAGTACTATGACAAGATTTAAAGTACGATTACAAAACCGATTGGAGTTGAATCTCTTGGGGCTCACAATTCATTTGGTTGGACAAGACGAACTTGCTGAGCACCGTCCTTCTTAAGAAGCATGACTAGGCAATCTTTGACGTTCCAAGAACTATTACAAGGTGGTATTGACACAGCAACTCACGTGATCAAACAGGAGACAAGAAACTTGTATGCATCGTATTTTAAGAAGTTCTGTGAATTCTGTATCGCCAACGAGTATCCTGATCCAGCGGTGACGCGTCATCACGAACTGCCTTCGCTTTTGGTTGCGTTTATGGAGAGTGTATCCGCGTCCAGTACCGTTTCCAATCAAACTGCGAAGAAGATCAGAGCAGCGGTCGCGAACTTTTATGGCAGTTATGAGGGCAGAGACGCCGCAGGGCCGGACAAGTGGATGGTAATGACAGACGACAGGGGCAACAAATTTGGCCTTGGTAATCCTGCAAAGGATGCGTTCATTCGCCAATTCATGCGGGGCCTCAAGAAACAAAGAACAAGGAATTTACGCAGCGCCAAGCTACGCCTATTTCTTTGGATATGCTCCGTGTGCTTCACTTTCACTTGACACACACGTCAGGATTCACAGAGCCAAGCCGTTTGTGGTTTTTGGCGGTATCTGCTTTCGCTTTCTATGGAATGTGTCGAATCAACGAGGTGCTAAGTTTGCAGTGGAAGAATATCACCCTGGACCTGGCTCGCCCAAGTGCGTCTGATCCGACTTCGACAATTGGCTACGGTGTCTACAAACTGGAAGGGAGAAAGACGGAGGTCGCTGAAGGTCGCTGCTACAACCTTCATTGTTTAGATGAATGCGAGAGTCCAATGAATGTTTTAACTCACTTAAAGAAATGGATTGGGTACGTTAATACGAAGACGGACCACAAGTGGAGCGTTAACGGCTACGTTTTCCAGCATTGTCCAAAATTGCGAAGAGTGCTATCAAGGCTGATGACCCTCATACAGGGTGCGAGAACGCACGTGTGGAATGAAGCAAGAAAATGTCTGAGCAGTCTTTCATCACGCTATTGAATTGCGTCGTGAGAGATCTCAACCGCAATGGAACATATGTGTCCGGATACGTTCGCCAACAATGGCGTGACATTTGGTTCACTTCACACACGTTTCGCCGCGCTGGAGCACAGTATCGATTTATGTTCGCACCGCCTGAGTGGAGGTGGTCGCTCCGAATGGTGAAATGGTGGGCCGGATGGACTCCAAATGAATCGGCAGAGACCCTTGTGCGTTATCTTCTTGATCAAGCAGCAACCGATGAGGACGCGCAACTAGCAGACTGTCTTGCACCAGATCGTGGAGCACATGTGGGCTGTCCTTCTACTTTTACAGGACGAAAACGGAACATGGCGGGACATGGTAGCCAACGATCCTCAACCTCCTCGGCCGATACAACCTCTCACTTCGAAAAACGTCTGAAAACTGTTGGGTGTTCGGTTAAAGCTCTTGAAGACAAGATCGACTTACTCATCTTGGTACTTCGGCCATCAGAAATCTCAACACCATCGGCAGCAGCTTCACACAGCAGCATCGACGAATTGGAGCAGATATCTATTCTGCCGCCAGCTAAAGACTGGCGGGCTTTGTATCGAATGTACTGGAAAGCTGACCCAGCTCGTCATCTATTCAAGCCGATTTGTGAATGGACACCACAGGAAAGAAAGAAAAGCGGATCCCTTCCCAGTCGCCTCAGTGTTGCAAAGCTGATAGCGGAAGATGTTGTTGATTTTGCTCTTCAAAAGAGAATTCCGACTCCAAGGGACGTCTCAGAGGCCACATTATCGATGTATGCAGCTTACTACGTCGATAATTGGATGAAAAATGCAGCGAATACCAACCTGAATGCGCTCGTTATCGACACGCTGGCACGATATATCAGACTTGATAAGAAACGCCGACTCGTGAAAGCTCAGCATGCTTACATAAACAGATACAGCTAGTATAAAAAGATAGTATTGTGTCTTGTTATAGTACATTGAGTCTTGTGTTAGTATTATTAATCTTGTCACGTACATTTAGTCTTGTCGTAGTATCTATTATCTTGTCATGTTTTTCTAGTATTTAATGTCTTGCTGTAGATTTTGTCTTGCCGAGAGTCTTCTAATAATTTATCACCATTACTTAAGTTGTGATCGAAAATTAATACACGGTTCTTCATTTTATTGGACAATATTGACTCTAAGACTATCTTTTCATTGGTCAAGCAATCAGACTTTGCATCAATTGTTATTTGGGAAGCCTGAAGTAGCTTCCGACACAGAAAGCATACAATCTCTAAGATATGCGGAAGCTACTTCCATTTTATCACAATCACAGCTCAAGCAGACGTCTAGATACGTTAGGTCTACTTTACTAACATGTAGATAGTCTCATAAACCTACCCTTCATTATACGAATGGAAGCGCTACTTCCTCAGCGCAAGGTGCTGTGTGACCCCGTCACACTCGAGGTGTGTGGTACACGTCAAACGTAGAGTTTTTTTTTTCAAAAATACCGATGGAACCGGTATTGCCATGTGCCCGATTCCTTGACTGTTTTCTACCCAAAAACTGGTGAACGCCATACATGTATTTCACTCTGCTTGAATTGCTGAGCTGAAAATAACGTTACATAGCGGATCCATTTTGATTTACTTTAATTAAACGGACGTATTTTTACTTTTACTATTTCAAAAAAAAAAACTGAAAAGGAATGCTGAAAAGATTTACAAAAAGATTGCTTCGATATCTTCGATCTTCAAAGGATTTCATTTCAGAGTTCAGATGGGGACGCAGGTGTCGCGGGACGCTGCTGCTAGTGCGGAGAGTGCCGCTACCTCGCAGGACGAACAGCTGTCGGCACGTGCGTGGCGCACTGGTGTACCGTTCACGCTGCTGCATGATGAGGGCTTCGTGGTGGAGAAGTTCCAGGAGTTGTTGGCGACTTCAAGCGCGCAGTCGGGTAAGCGTAGCAACACCAAGTCGGTGGAGGAGGCGCAGACGACGGTCTCGGGGATGGACGAGGCGCCGATTGAAGAGATGCAGCATGCGACAGACATGGCACGCATCAAGCTGTTCACCCGTTCCAAACGGGATGGCGGCACGGGGGAACAAGGCGGTTCTCAACCAACCTCTCCTTCCAAGTTGGGGCCTGCAACAGCCTCCACACTAACTTCTTCTACAGCTAAGGAGAACCCGCCCAGTGCCTTGGCTGGAATGGTGGGCAACACGCTGTCGAGAGAGTCACCCGAAAGTGTTGACAGCGAGAGGTTACGTGCCCAGCGAGACAAGCTGCTGCAAGTTTACTTTGAGCAGATCGCGCTAAGAGTAAGACATAACCGGATGGGCACAGCGGGGGGAACACCGAGGGTGGGAGATTTGCAGGACGTTGAAGAAAGTCTGTCCTCGATGATTCCGAGAGCCGACGTTGAGATTCTGTCATCGGCTGAGATGTCGATGAAAGATAAGAGACTGGAGATTTCACAAAATGTGACGGCAGCGAGCGTGTTCTCAGTTGGTTCGTTGCGCATGCAGCTGGAGATCCTGCGCGAGTTCCGTTTGTTAAGTCCGAAACTCTTTGAGAACGGAACGATGGCGCTTGTACAGACGTTGCTGGACAGTCCGCCGTTTGCATTGCAAGGCATCGTTACTCGTTCTCCTGAAGAAGTCATTTTGAGCGACGTACACAGATTTTGCCGGGATGTCCTGCACCCTGAGCAGGGAGGACAAGTAGCGTCCGATGTACAACGGCACGTTACTCTTCTCTTACTGCTTGCGATTGGAGTGAGCAGTGGGCGAGTCAGTTTGCTCCTAGAATTCGTCGATGAGCTGCTCATCTTGCCTCGTGAGTGTGCTACTACTAAGCCGCTTCTAGTTCAAGAATATCCGTTTGCAGCTTGGGTGAAGGTGTTCATACAGCGAATGCAGTCCTACCGAATTGATTATGCGCTAGGAACGTTCGAAGACAGTGCATTTGTAAAGAAATTTGTCATGAAGACGCTTCCGGGTGACTTGGAAAACGACGATGCGGAGAATGGCCTGGACAAATCAAACGCGAACGTTACAAGCTCGTTTGCCACGGATGGAAGTTTTGCGTACACATGGAGCTTAACGAAAGGCTTGGCAAAGATCGGAACGGGCCATAATTTCACCATTGCTGGAAGAGTTTACGCTGAGGTGCCAGCAAGCGAGTATTTACGGCGACTGGAGGAGAAGCGTACCGTTCGAAAGTTGGTTTATGGCTTCGGAGAATGCGTCAAAGATGTCTCTGTATTCGCGAGGGATGAGATGGCGAGAGTTCACGATGAATCGTCGAGAATGAGTGTTCAGAACATATTTGGTGAGGCGGGGGCACGTGATGAGTCCAGATTGCTTATCTCGTATTGTGTGGGCAACGTTCAGGACGTTTGTATTCTCGAGAATCGAGATATTTTCACTCTCCCAGTGCCGAGCTCTGAAAGTGTGAAGGTCTGTCGGGCGTGGTACGGAGATCTGGAGGTTCTAAATAACGAGGCAGTGCTGCACTTCTGTAATTTACTGGAGCAGAAGCGATCCAATGTTATGGCTGATTTAGGTGTCACGCTTTCCCGTGCGCTCACCGAGCAGCTTCTGACGTTGAGTGACATTTCACTAGAAAAGATAGCAGAGTCGAAAAAGCTGATGGTAGTCTTTGCAAGTGGCGACGATTCTGATTCAATGGGGGCTCAAGTCTTGGAAGAAGGTGATCGATTTGCCGACGTTGAAGAGAGAGCCCGTGACTCATATCTTTCGAGTCTATTGTTTTGCGGTGACTCACTATACCTAAGTGTGATTTATCCTGAGAGAGACGTTAGTGGAATGCTGGTCAGTGAATCAAGTCAACGATGTCGTCGCCTGCTGCGAATATCTCCTCAAGATCTTGGCTTTCTGGAGGATTTGCCTTTGGAGAAGTATTCTTCTCGGACGCCTGGCAGTAATATGAAATGTGCACTACCACTATATGCTTACGCTACTGAGGGGAAACTCATTTACGAGATTGAGATGGGATCGGGTGATATTGACGTCAATGTAATTACCCCAAAGGCATCCCAGGGGGGAGGGAAAATCTTGGAGAAAACACGATTCTTCAGTCTGAACGAGAAGACGGTGCTGTGTTGTGAGTTTTTGTTGTGTCTGGCGAAAATCCGAAGCGCAGTGATGGGCCATGAAGACAAGTTGGAAGTGCAGTTGCCTTTATTTTACACAAATGGCGCCTCGCTGGGGATGCTGATTGTAGATCAGAACTCAAAGGAACGCGGTTCGTCCAAGAACTTTGTACATTGTGTGTTGTTTGATTGCGAAAGTGGTGAGGCAAAGGGGTCGTACGAAAACGAGGAGAAGACCAGCTGCCAGGAACGTACACTTTCGTGTACGTCGGTGTGTTTCGACGCAAGAAACAACCTGTTGTGGCTTTATGAAGAGCACAAGAGAACTCTGCGATCGTATCAAAATTCTGGAAAGCGGATACCGTTGGATGAGAATTCCATTCCATCCGACGTTGTAAGCAAAAAGGCTGGTGATGGTGAAGAACCGAGTTTTATCGAAACAACAGCACTTTCACTGCTCGGGTTCCTTTACAAAAATGCTGCTGCAAGCAGTTCAGTTGTTGGAAACGATGCTGGCAATGACTCTGTCACAAGGGTGCCGTTTGCTGTAGATGTCAAAGTGGAAACGTTTAAGTTACTACTGGCTTTTACTTCGAAGTATGTCGAGGTTTTCAAGGCAAATGATGCTTCCCTTTCCCAGGTGTATATTCTTCAAGCATGTCTTGGAATTTTAAACAAGAATCTGGAGAGTTTGCTGCAACTTGCTGACGGGCGTTACAAACAAGAAGCAATTTCTCTATTGAAATCAGGTTTGTCAGCCCCACTTGATAGATTACTGGAGTTCTCGAGTGAGCAGCAACACAAAGATCTTGTGACGGAGAATGCATCATCTGGTCGTCCGTTACCATTGCAGGTTGATGAAAGAAGCCATGTTCAAGTGGCATCAGTAGCGCTGGATCTGTACACGACGTCCATTCGCATTTTCCATGCTGATGTTACAAAGCAATTTACGCATGTACTGAAGTATTTACAATTGTGGCAGCAAGCAAAGGCGACAAGGATGGAGTTGAAGATTCTAGCACGTCTACTCGCTCATCTGTGTACTCGAGTGGATGCTATTTACCATTCTATGGTGATGTCTGAAGATTCACTAGGGCAGTTCTTAAAGCTGGTGGAGTTTGCGGTGGGAATGCAACAAAGGCAGCTCCGGCAAGTTTTTGTACTCTCAAGAAAAATGTCGGATAATGCTACCGCAGCATCAACCTTTCGGGACAGTGTCGAAGATTCATTCGAGCTGATATCTCTCGTGAACGCAATCACACAAGCGTCTTTCGTGTCACTATTCACCGACGGTGGCGATACTTGTAGTCGTAGAGCGCTTGATGTTGCTCTTGTGGTGTTTGATACGATACGCGATGCCTGTTCAAGTATTTGCAGTGATTTGGCGGACCCGGTCAAGCAGCAGGACTGTCAGACGCAGTGGACAGAAATTGAAAGTGTTCTTAAGGATGGCTTCGTCGGGATTTTGGCTCCTGTTGTACTGTCTTCTGGGATAATGGTCTTACGAAATCGTAAGTGTATCGAAGACTTGCTGATGATAAATGATGCGCACGAAATCACCGGACCCGAGTCAGAGCAGATGGGCGGAGGTGTAAACGGAAGTGCGACGAGCAAAAGTTCTGCCACGTCATCGTGTATGTTTGATTTTCTGAAGGATAACTCATCCAACCTGCTTGAGTTTATGGTAAGCTTGGATTTTTTGGTATCTATGATTGATCCGACGAAAAGAGAGAGCACAATGGAAAACGTGTCCATGGCCCTCAAAACTGAAACGATGGAATCGTCTCATGAGTACGAAAACAACATGGATACGCTAACAGAGCTTCAAGTGCCGGGAGCCACCCGCATGGTGATCACGTTCGACCCACGATCCCGAACAGAAGTAAACTACGACTACTTGACTTTCTACAAGGACAAAAGCCAAGGAGAGCATTACGGAAGCCAGTTTTACTCCGGACGTGACTCGGAGCAGAATTGGCCTGGTGTGGGCGACAACCCTCCATTGATTATCGAAAGTGATCACTGTTTTGTCTACTTCCACACAGATGGTTCCAATACTGACTGGGGGTACAAGTTCACAGCAACAGCAGAAATCTTAGAAAGGAAAAAGAGCTTGCAGCAGCACTGGATCGTGTTTCTGTTGGAGAATGTGGTTTATCTCCTAGACGAAAGTATCAAGATTCTTGTGGACGGAAGCGCATTCGCCCCTATTGGTGATATGGAGATCCAAAACGAACAGTACTTGCAAAGCGACTTGCTAAGAAGTGGAGTGTGCACCGAAGACAACAAGAACGCAGAGGTGCTGCGGCTGCTGCAAGACTTCGTAGATTTACCAGAGTCGTCGGATGCAGAGAAGCTTATTGAAGCTCTCCAAGAGCGCTCAGGTGTGTCAAAGCCGTCCCTAGCTCTAACACGCTCCACGTCATTCGATCAAATTACAAGCTCTGCTCCAAACAAATCGGTGAGTAGCGCAGTTCGAGCCGTGGCAGCAGCCATTTTTCACCACAATATGTGGGGAATGGATGCGTATGCGTTTACTCAAAAACTACGCGACGATATTTCTGAGCAACTCCTTCGTGGCTGGAAAAATGCTCAAAAGATGCGGGATTGGTTTCATCTTGGAGATGCTGCAGATGCTGGCATCCACGGGCAAATGGTTCCAAGTCGACGCCGTTCTGGACGACTCCGGCGTCAGCCATCAGCTTACAAGGGACTCTCTGAAGAATCTCTTGCGATCTTGTGTGACAACGTCATTAAACGAGCGCAATTTTTGTTGGAGATCACGCCCGTGTCGTTTGCCTATGTGTCGGGTGCAAAGCGCAGGTGGGGCTTATTGGCAAAGTACGGGCATGCCATTGGAAAACAAAACTCTGATTCTCAGCTGGATAAGTGGTACAACCTCCTGGATGAGCTGCAAGCTGCGACAGAGCTGAGGAGCCTGTTTCAGTACCGGAGGACATCAAGTGAGCGACTTAAGCATGGCCAAGCAAAATCAGTTACTGAACAAGTTCTCGAGTTTATTCAGAGTGATGTGGATATTTCCGAAGTTCGAAAAGTGATTGAAATCAGGAATCGAAGAGCGGCGAGTCGGGCAATGGGTATGGAGATTTTTATTCAAACACTGAAGGATTGTCCAAGTTTGAGCTTGCGAGGAATTTTGCTCGAGTCTTTTGCGAGTACACTGAAATGCTTCGCAATCACCAATTCTCCTACAAACGTTTCTGGGTCGAGCTCTATAAGTCCAGCATCAACGCTGGATTCGTTTCCGCGATTGCACTTTGATGCTTTGCTTTCTGGATGCGATGAGTCACTGCGCCAACGAATCGCGGAAGGCTTTGGTAATTGCCTGACAATCTTCGCTAAGCAGGTCGCATCAGCTACGGATGATGGAATACGTTCTGGATTCATTACTAGCATGCTAAGGTGCTGTGCTTTGGACTACGACCTAGAAGATTCGTATTTACTTCAGGAAAGTCGAGTACTGCCGCAAATATTGCATCTGCTCTCTTCTGATTCCATTACGACTCGAAACGCAGCACAGTCGCTTTTAGGCGTCCTGCTATCACGATTTATTGCTGGACGGGTAGATTCGACTGCAGAAGGTGGTGATGATGACGACGAGCACGATGATAGTGACGATCATGACATTTCGGCGTTCCAACGTCAGCTATTTGCTGCTGTTGGACATCAACTTGAGGGTATTGCTTCTTCTGTTAAATCGGCGTTTAACTCACATGGTGGTGGTTTAGGCAAGTTTTCGCCCCAATACCTTCCCGAGAATTCGCCCGGGTTCGTTTCTTCATGCCTGCAGCGAAATGCCGTTAGTTGGAACCATTCAATAATGCTATGGGTGTACAGCCCAAGCAAGGGGTCGTTGTATGCTCTGAAGCTAGGCGATGAAGTGCGTCGAGGACCTAATTGGAGCGGAACGGACGAATTGGGGGAAGACGGTGAGACAGAAATTGGAACTGTCATCAGTATTCCCGCCCCAACGAAAGTTCATGTTCGGTGGAACTCCTCGGGTTTGACTTCTCGATGTGAGTTTGATCCAAAGCATGGAATATTTGAAGTCGTCTTGGTGGATGAAGGCGTGGGTGGCGCAATTTTCTTTAAGGGCAACACGAATATGATCAAAGATACGGCAGCAGCCAAGCCATGGAGTCACTTTGGGCTGTTTTTAACGGACAGTCGGATGCTGGTCTACAAAATTGCGTGTGGATCCGACAAAGAAAGCGTATTTGAAACAGATTATGAACTGGATGCTGATCAGTGGTCTCATGTCGCTATCGTGCAGGACGGAGACACACTGCGAGTTTACGTCAATGGCTCCATGGTATCGCAACATCTTCTTGAGTCGTTCTTAGTAATGAATGCAAATGTGAACCCAGCTGAGTCCGCCATTATCGAGTCAGCTCATCCTCTTGAAGACTCGATTGATGAATATTGCCCGGTTCATATTCCAGGTGCTGTCAAAATTCGCTTAACGTTTGATCCTCTGTGCGATATTGACAGTTCGACCGGGTTTGTCCGGTTTTACAAAGACGCAAAGTGTGTGGAGTATTGGGGCGAGGAGAAATACACTGGCAAATACAGCGACCCGGAGCGGAATTTTCCTGGTGCTCAAAGCAACCGCGCGCGAAGCCTCCAACACGCAGATGCATCCAGCGTCGATTTGAATGTGCTTGAAATCTCGTCAGATCGATTCTTGGTATACTTTCACAACGAAGGCAATTCTAACAGCTGGGGTTTTAGGATTCTTGCATCGCCTGAACTCGCTACGTCCGTAGAAGAGTGTACGAACCACATAGCGCACTTAAATCCGTATCCATTCTACTTTGGGGAGGCTCCCGGGCGCGTCTTAGACGAACCAGCGGCGAAATGCTGGATTTATCAACCAAAGGTGTTGAGTTATCCCATTTCAGAGAGTGATCTAACCACTGAGATCCAGACAAGTTTTCCATCGACGGAGATCATTTCAAGCGTTGCTCCTGCTGAGCGTACTTTGCACATACTGGGATTGGTTCGAACATGCGCTGAGACTTCGTTTGGACGGAGCCTTATCGGCACACCAGAAAATATTCGAAACATTCTGCTTCTGTCGTTTGATGACCGCGTGCCTGTAGAAATCCGAATCGGGGCCATCAAGGTGCTTAAAGACCTTACGGGGACTCTGGGTACGGACGTCATGGATGCTCAAGTGGCAAAAGCCCTTCCAAGTGAAACAGATGGGCTTCTTCCATTTGTTTTCCAGCGGTTGGGCCGAGCTTTGAACGTTTGGCGAGCATTTGAAGAGGACAATGTTGCTGTGGCCGATGGAATCGACGAAGAAGATGCAGATGATGGAGATCTTCTCGAGTTACGCACGTCAGCACAGGGAGAAGCAAGTTTAGTGGCAGCTTACATATCGCTATTTCGTGACGCGTCAGAGCACTCTTGCTGGGGTGATCAAGTATTCGAATTGGTCCTAGCGGGCTTGCAATGTGTGCACACACTTAAAGACAAATGGTTGGAGCGAGCAGTGGAACAGATACTAGCGTCACTTGCGTTACTGGGTGGAAACTATAGTGGTGCTTACATCGGAGGCAGGGTCAGTTGCTGTGTAAACGTTGATGGCAAAGAGATGATCGAGACTGGATATCTGGTGCAGTTCCGCATGAAGAGCGGATCTCATATCGCGCGCGTCATCTTTGATTGTGACCAATCAAACATCGTTGACGTTCCCTTGACTGATGTTGCCCATTTGGATGATATCGAGAAAATAGAACTCGCGTCGTTTCTCAAACGAGTGACACCTTTTGCGTCGGAATTGAAGGATCTATATCAAGGTGTTCTCGATCTGACTGACATATCTCCTTCGGTTGATTCGTATCAGCCTAAGCTCACAAAGAAGGAAAATGTTGAGGTACTTGAAAGCGAGCATCCCTATGCTGCAGGAGAAGATATAACATACTCGCTGAATTTCCGTGGTGCTACCGAGATAGTAATCCAGTTTGACAAAATGTCGTGCACTGCTGGCCCGAACGATTACATTCAATTCAAAAAGAAGGAAGGAGATCTCAAAGAAAGCGGTGGGAATGATGACAAATACTGGGGTGAGGAAAAGTACTATGGAGAGTCATTTCCAGGTGTGGGTACAACGCCTCCTCTACGTATTCCGGCAGGGAGTGTTGATGTCCACTTCTACACTGAGGGCTCGTCAAGCGGTATTTCGGAGTGGGGCTTTAAGCTTACAGCACATGCCTTCGAAGAGGCCCTGGTATATCCGCCTGAGATTCCTCCATCAATCATGACAAGTGCATTTAGCGATATCCGTGCGAGGTGCATAAAATCGTTTGGCCAAGTTCTCGAATCGCTGAAGCGCTCGGACATAGTTCCTACATTTACGAGTCTGCTACCTTCATTAACGAAGATCGCCAATTCTCCCTGTGACGGACGCCCGATTCAATCATCACCAAAGTCGCAGATATTTGAGTCCAAGCATCCGTATGCAAACTCGGTGATGGAATACATGAAAGTGACTTTCAGTGGCGCGTCCACGTTGACGATAACATTTGACTCTCAATCGCGAACGGAGCAAGGATGCGACTACCTTTGCTTTTTTAAAGATAAGTCGTTGACAGACCGATGGGGTGCATATCAGTACTGTGGAGTTGGAAGTGACGCTAACTGGCCTGGCGTTGAAGACCGCCCACCTCTTGTCATCCTTGCGGACTCCTTTACGCTACTGTGGGCAACTGATGGCTCTAACGTCGACTGGGGTTGGAAATTTAATGTGACAGCGGAGTTTCTTCCTGAGTTTCCTCTCAATAAAACCTTGAAGCAGCTGGATGCCCGGTCGTATCGGTTGTTTGAGACGCTGTATGAAAAGATGAGTCATCAGCGAATCCCACTGAAGAGCGAGTTTGAAGAATTTGCCGGGAGTGATGATGCATGCAAGGAAAAGCACAATTCAGATCCAGTTCGTCAGCTACTCTCATCCTATAGCTCTGTGGAACCAGCAAAGCTTGCTGAATGGGGTAGCGTGATTTCGAAAAAGACACAGTACTACAGCGTGACTGATGACAACGGAATCAAGGTTTATCAGGAGAAGAATCGCGATTCGAATGTTTTGGTGGAGCTTCCAGCTGGAACGGAATTTGCCGCTGAAGTCGATCGGGACGGGTGGCTAAAAGCTGTCTCTGACAATGTTGATCAGCTTGGTAAAGCAAAATGCGGCTGGATATGGCAGCGTACAGGCGCTATTGTGCATGCCGCTCCCTCAGTCGCGTGTGCTAATGGAGAAGATTTGCTAACTTTGGGGGTGGATGACCTCAGTTTCGAATGTAAGCATTCAGTGCTGGAGATGGACGACAGGAATGATGAGGAACAGTCTCTCACTAGCTTATGCTCTCCGTTTGCTTTCGATGAATTTAAAGGACAAACCGACCGGATCCAGAATTTGGCGTACGATTCGCATCGAGCGGTTGCGACAAAAGCAGCTCGCGATGCAATTATTACGTTCCTCTCGTGTGACCCAAAACGAGCCCCGATTCAATTAAGTGCTTTTGGCAGTGCTGAGGATATTATTCTACTCCTGTCTCACTTCTTCATAGATGCCGATTGTGATGCAGATTTCGACAATCAATCTGGTGTTGTACTTGCATTACGAAAGAGACTGCGGCAAATGGTTTTAAGTGGCGCTGATGACTCTATTCTTCTTGCTGTTCTCACGCGATGTCTCGATATTCTGAAAAGTGGCCCCCAATTACTTCCTAAGGGCCGCGGAGCTGTCCGGGTATTGGAAAGCACCCACCCATACCAGGATAACGCAGATCAATATTGGGATGTCTCGATTCCAGGGGCCACAAAGATCAAGGTAATCTTTGATCGCAGATGCAAGAGCGAGGCTGGGTGTGACTGGGTGCGTCTATACAAATCTGGGTCAAACCGAACAGAAACAATTGGACCGGATCAAATTGGTGGGCGGGGCGATAGTGAAAACTGGCCGGGAACTGGTGATCGGCCGCCTCTGTATATTGAAGACGACTCGTTTGAAGTGTATTTCCACTCCGATTCTAGCAATAATGATTGGGGCTTCAAGCTGTACGCCATTGGCATTTTCAAGGAAGAAGAAAAGCTGCCAAGCACCGACGCAAAGAATCCAGAAACGGTTGTGAAGCTACTCTCTATGACTGGTTGGATTGTGGAGGCGCTGAGCTCAATACCCGATTCTAGTTTACAGGCTAGTCCCACAACGCTCAAAATGTTGTATTCGGCCGAGACGTTGCAAACGTTTGTGTTTACTTTGAACGAGTCGCCCCAAGGTATCAAGACTTGTGCACTTCAAGTGCTGAGTAACATGGCTCAGAGTGCAGGTTTCCATACCATCCCAGCCGTTCTCATTGAGCATGTGCGCGACTTGGTGAATGTGAAGATGCGCGCTAAACATCAGGCTGAGGACCGTATGGAGTTGAAATCACCATATCTCCAGACGCTGGTGCAGTGCGCAGTTGCGCTTGATCTATCGATCGATAACCATTGCTTTGAAGGGGTCAATTCTGACACGGAATCCATCTCTTCCTTGCCTTATCAACCTGGTACGGATGGCGTCACTACTTTTGTAAGCAGACCAAGGACATCAACGTCAGGATGTCACCAGTTCCTATTGAAGTTCGACAAACTTGCGTCAGCAGTGACTATTGGCCTTACGCTGGGAGAACTTGGAGCGACTATGGGAAAATCAGCGTGTTTTGTGATGTTGGAGGATAACGGGAAGTTGTCGGTTGCTGCTCGTTCCAGAGCGAGCGGTGGCTATGATTTCAATGAATTTCTTGGATACAAATGCCAACTTCGAGAAGGAGATACGGTGGTGATACTACTTGATCTATTGCGACAGACGCTAGTGATTCGGAAAAATAGTATCGTATCTGCACTTGTAGCCGGGCCAGCAGGCTCGGGTGCGTTGGTTCCGTGGAACGAGCTGTATCCGTCACTACAGCCACAGAGTGACATCCGACTGATCGTTTCTCATTCAAGTTCTGACAATCGGATCGGATTCAGTTCACTAAGCTGTTCCCCTTTCGCACTCATCCCTCAAACCATCGTACCAAATTGGTATGGCAAGGTTGTCGACGCAGTAAGTATGATGCTAGACTTCCGTGAGAACTTGGCATCGACAGTGATTTTGAAAGAGAGTCGACATCCGTTGGCATCGTCAACACCTTCCAATCCTGTACGCGAGCTTGTCGACATTAAAGGTGCCGTGGCGCTGGAGATCCGATTTGACAAAAGAACTAAGATTCAGAAGAGCGATGAGCTCCGCTTTTTCGCTGGGAGTAAATCCGAGACTACTTCTGAGGACGCTAGTGATCCGATTGTCGTGCTTTCGGGAATCAATGGTGAGCAGGATGAGACAGACTCTCCTCATTTATTTGCAGTCGACGGCACAAAACAGCTTAACTACTCGCTATCTGTCGGTGACTTGGTGGTTAGATCACAAGACTGGGAATACAGCGATGAAGATGGAGGATCTGGAAGTGTCGGTATTGTGCAAGAGGTAACTTCCTGGAGGTCTCACGGTGGGAAGGGGGTACGTGTTCGATGGCAAGACAATGGTCTTGAAGCAGTATATCGCTACGGACTCAATGGCCGATACGATGTGCAGAATCTCGAGCATACCAAATATCATAGCGGGCCGTTGATCATAAGAGGCAGTACCATCTCGTATGAATTTGTTCGAAGTACACCGCAGACAACTACGACGCTTGATTTGAGTGCTTGCTCCGAATTTACCGGTAGCTTGAAATTGGACGGGTCAACCCGGTTGGAATTGAAACTCTTGGAAGAGAATGAGCGGGTGTTGTCGAAGAGTGATTGCTCCGTTGAGTTTTGGGCTTTTATATCCACGGATATCTTTGCCAAGGTGGACGACAGCGCATGCATGGAGGTCCTTCGTATTGATGGTGCTCGCGGCCGGGTTGTTCTACTGAGTGACAGACTGGGTAGATGTAAGCTGGCTCGTCAGGTCGTGGATTCTAGTGGTGCGTTAGAGGATCATCATCAATGCCGTGAAGATGCTGATAATGACAGTGCTACCACTGGAAATCTCGCTTTCGGCCAATGGCTTCATTTAGCGCTTGTGTTTTCTGGATCGAGAGTGCTTATGATGAGGAATGGAGATGCTATCTACTCAGCTCGATGCACAGACCACGACCGATTGGTACTGGATTCAAATTCTGCACTAATCTTCGGGAATTCATGCAGTCAAGCTGCAACACTGCATGATAATTCTCCAGTGTCATGGTTAACATTCTGTGGACACCTGTACGATATTCGTTTGTGGGATGTCGCCTTCCGAGTTGAACAACTTCGCAGTCACTTCCGGGGGTTAGACAGTGTCGATGTGATGCCCAAGAGCAGCAGTCGTCCAGGAACTCCAACACACGCGAGCAAACGGCCATTATCTCCTGCAATGACATTTTTCTCTTCGCCACGATCACCGCGGTCGTCGTTGCGCCCCGTTACGGTCCCTCATCACATGCGAAAATGGGTCACCACGAACCGGACAAGCAAGGATATTTCCACTGTTCGTCTGAATTGTTGTGTGAAAGCGTCAATGTCGCAAAGCGGTGATAGGAAGCCAAGTGATACAGCGTATTACGAGGCACATGCGCTATCCAGTGGTAAATTATGTGTCGGGTGGATATTGGGTGATGTGAATATGCACAATAAGGCGACTATGATCGGAGAAGAGCGCAACTCGTTTGGTGTTGATTTGGGGAAGAAGGTGGCACAGTTTTCGACCTTAACACAAGACTTAGCGCCATTTACGAGGGTTGAACCTAGTGCATGCAGCAGTCCACGACGATCTTTTGGAAACTCCTTCGGTAATGACATTTTCTGCCGCAACGGTGATGTCGTTGGGTGCGCGATTGGCTTATTAACTGGTAAGCTAACGTTTTACGTTAACGGCACGAAGGTTGCGGAATATGTTCCCACTGACGACCAGAACGCTGGGTCAGCCCTTCTCGACGCTGGCAAGGATCAGGAATTTAACGCTTTGGTCACTGAAATTATCTCTGTCGAAAAACCAGCAAATATGGCTGGAAGCAGTGATGTTTACGTTCCAGTTGTGGAAAGAAAATTTTACCCTTCTGCAAGCTTAGGTCCTCAGGGCGCACAAGGTCTAGCATGGAATTTCGGCCAACGACCATTCAAATACGAACCGAATCCTGGCGAAGGGGATGTTCTGTCGCTTCTTCAGGCTTCAGATTGTGCCGAGGAAGACGCATACTTTGAGGTGTACGACTACGATGAACGGCAATGGGATCGAGTTGTCTACCGCCACAAGGTTCAGGAAATCACACCTCGCCTTGTTGGCTGGTGGAAACTAAACGAGGGCATGGGGAACACAGTCGACGACTCCAGTGGAAATAGTCAGCAAGGGATTCTCGCAGCAAACAACAATTCTGTTCGTGAAAACAAACCATCAATTTTCTCTCAGGTACTCGAAAGAGACGAGGGAGATCGTTGGTGGAACGATACTTGTTCTCCGCCACCGGCTGCGCGCAGACGCGTCGGTGACAATAACGCAGCATCGCCATTTTTCCCGTTTGGGACTACCGGCAGTAACGCGATGACAAAGATCGAATCGTTGTGGGGGTATAAATTTTATGTGATCCCGCATTTCACGATGGAGACAGTTCGTCGGCGGCACTTTCAGTCACATTCGGTGCGTTTCGGTGACAATCCTTACAACTTGACGTCACGTCATGATCAACAGCTAATCAAGTACATCAACAAAAAGAGTCAAAGCAAAGATCTCAATGCAACCCAGTTGCTTCATGGGCCTTGGAGTGACATTGCACCGCAAGAAAATGAGTTGGTGCGTTGGCCAGCTTTAATGGAAATTGTGGCTTCGGCAGGCGACGACGCAAACATTGAGAATAATGAGCCAAACCCTCCCGACTCATCCCGAACATCCGACACAGCGGCATCAACGAAGCCATTGGTTGATGCACAGGGGCGTCTTTCGAAACGGTTCAAAGTACTGCAAGAGTTCAACGCCACTGTCTATCGCATTTTGCCGTTCATTGCATTCCATGCTCCGCGCGTAGATAGTCCTGAATCCAGCGCTGCTGAGAAGAAGTTCATGCTGAGTGATCTCGTTATGGAACAGCGGCATCGTATCTTGAGTGTCGTGAAGCGCACGATCTGGGACAGTGCACTAGGGCGTACAAACGAAAGTGGGGTATCCTTCGAGTTGACGCTAAATCGTCCCAAGGCGATGCGATTCCGTGCAACTGGAAAGACGGATGTTGAAGGAAGACATACCCTTTTCTCTCAAGCTTTCCGTCAGCTGCAAGCTTTAGACGGCACACACTTTCGACGCGAAGATGCAGTATACCGTGTCACTTTTCTCGGTGAAAACGCGCAAGATGCTGGTGGTCCTTACCGCGAGACCTTTGCCCAATATTGTGAGGAGCTGCAGAGTACTCAGTTGCCACTGATGCTTCCGACTCCTAACTCACAACATAACGTTGGCGTTGGACGTGAAAAGTGGTTACTATGTCCCGGTGCACAATCTTCAACTTCGCTTCAGATGCTTGAATTTCTCGGTAAACTTATGGGGGCTTCTATTCGCAGCAAACAGTATCTTGCCCTTAATCTGGCGCCGCTGGTGTGGAAGAAGCTCGCTGGTGAGCGTCTAGTGCTGGATGATCTGGCCGCGGTGGACTCAATGCTGGTGAACTCCATGGCGAGAATGCGAACCATTGACCGTTATGGTGTCACGGAGGAGATGTTTGAGGATATTGTAATGGAAACATTCACGACGCTGGGAGCAGACAATCGCGTGATCGAGCTTAAGCCTGGGGGTGCTCATTTGCCAGTAACCTTCAGCTCACGTTGTGATTACGCTGACCTCGTTGAGCAGGCTCGACTTCACGAAAGCGACGATCAAGCGCGGGCGATTTTCCGTGGACTCGCCAAGGTTGTGCCAGCCAATCTACTTGCGTGTTTCTCGGGTGCCGAGCTTGAACTTATGGTTTGCGGATCCCCAGAGGTGGACGTGAACTTGCTCGAAAAGTGCACGGAGTACTCAAGCTGCTCACCTACAGACGACCACATCATTTGGTTCTGGCGGGCGCTGCGAGACTTTTCTCATGAGGAGCGTAGTGCCTTCCTGCGCTTCGTGTGGGGTCGCTCGAGGCTTCCTGCTAGTGCTGACGAGTTCCCTCAACGTTTCAAGCTGCAGTCCTTCAACATGCAGCGAGCAGGTCGTAGTGTTGATGCCTACATGCCTGTGGCTCACACGTGCTTTTTCTCAATCGAGATTCCAGCGTACTCGAGCGAGTCTGTACTGCGAGAGAAACTATTGTACGCAATCTACAATTGCCAAGAAATTGACGGCGATGGCGACAGTGTCGCAGCTAACCAGCTCGGTTGGGAGGAATGATTCAGCAAGATGCACGCTGAAACACAAGTCTACAGTAGCCAGAAAATTGATACATGATGCATATTACACAACTTTTGCTGATTTCAGTAGTGTCTCGTAGTGCTCCAGTCTCTCATGCAACTCGCAGATCTCGTCTTCCTTGGTATTCAGATTCTCTGTCGCCCACACTACAGCACAACAAACGACGTCAGCATCAACATTCAAAGTGACCAAGTAGGGTCCGTACCGTATCCGTCACGCAATCGTTCGATCTCTTGGTCCTTGTCCTCGAGCTGCTCTTGAAGCTCCTCAAGTTGAAGTGTTAAGGCATCACGCTCCTGCACTTCATGAACTTTGATATCCACAACATCCCCAGCTCGTTTTACGCAGAGATCGGCACCATCTTCAAGAATGCTAGTAGCCTCATTCATGATGGCATGTGAACTTACTGCGAACTTTATCATACGCTTGAGACGGTTGTTTTCCTCCAAAATGTCATTGAGATCCTGCGTTGAGGACTCTCGTTCGACCGCCTCCAACGAGATAACGTCGCCTTCTTGCTTTCCATTCCACCAATTCTGGAGCGTCGTCGACGCAGTTTCATATAAAGATTGGGCTATGGCTGTAGTTGTCGAAACGACTGTCTTGACCACAGTCGACCAGTAGTGAATGAAGGCATTCAAGCCATCTCGCGTCGCCCATGAGCTTTGGGAAATCGCTAGGTGGCGAGATCGACGACGAAATGTCTTGGGTGTCGGTGGGGACAAGTAGGATTGCTGCACGGAGCACACTAACGGTGCTCGGTTCGAGACACGGCGAGTGAGGATCGACCGACTCTTTCTAGCATGAATCCGTGGTGGACTGGGCCAGGCGCAATCATTTCGCTCTGGGCGCAGTACAAGCTGAAGCGGTAGCATTCGATCCTTCTACTCAGCGTTCTGAATGTAGATAAGCTCGTCTCCTCGACACTTTGACAATGGGTAATGCCTGGTTCTGCCTAGGCTAACGAGTCAAGACTTTTAAAACACTTCTGGATAAGAACGCGAGGCAATTGATCCGATGAATGCCGTTGTGAATTTATTGTCTAGGTATTTCTCATTTTCGTCGAGCCTTACGGGTTTCATCCTTTTCATCAGCGTCGTCGAAATCATCATCGTAGTCAGTCTCTTCCTCACCAATGGGGCCATTAGTCTTTGCCACAACTTCAATTGTTGCAGGTTTTTCAGACTTGCTGTCTAGTTGCTGTGATGGTGTCTCGTGTTTCGGTGCAGCTTTTGTAGGCATTTTCATCTCCTCTATCCACTTTGCTAATTTGGCGATCATTGTATCGCTTCCTGCTGTCGCATCCGTTGCGCCTGCATCATTTGTGTATGTTAGAAACACTCACGCTTAATACCCAAACCAATCTGTGCACCCACCGATGGCTAGCCCATAGAGCTTGGCAATTTCAGCTCCCCATTTGTCCTCCTTGGGCTTAGCAGGAGGTATATTAGCACTGGCTTTAGCACCAGTCATCTCTAACAGAGATTGATAGCGCTCCAACTGCTCTTGTAGCTCGTTTAGCTCGTCTTCTTTTGAGTTCATCCGGTCCGTCACCCACACTAACAGCAAAGGAAAGAGAGTAAGCCAATGACACAGGGTGTAGGCAACCTCAAACATCTCTTACCGTAGCCATCCCGAATGCGCTCGATTTCCTGATCCTTCTCGTTCGTCTCCGCAAAGAGCTGCTCTTCCTTCTGTCGAGCGGAGTCGCGTTCATCCGTGACCACCTGTAATTGAAGCTGCAGCTCCTCCTCTGTCTCTTCAAGTTCCTTCATCCTCTTGGCAGACTCGAGCAGTGCCTGTTCTGCTTGGCGGGCCTTCTCTTCACTTACAGCAAGTTCTTTTTCTAGACTCCGCACCTTTGCCTCCATCTTCTCCAGTTCAGCAAGCCGACGGAGTTCTTTTGTCTGTGCCTCAAGTAAATGCCTCTCGTTCTCCCGTGCTGCTGCTTCTGACTCAGGATTACCACCGCTAGTATTGGCGCCTGTGTCAGTAGCGCTAGTTGCCTGAGACTGGGCTTGTACTTCAGCCTCCGCTGCCTCCGCTCGTCGTCGCCAGGTGTCTAACTCAGCTCCTGCTGCTGCACATTGAGCCTCTAGTCGGCCAGCAGCCGCTTTAAGCAGATTTTCAGCCGCCAGCGCGCGTTCAAGCTCTTGTTTCACACGGTCACGCTCGTCATGAAGATCTCGAAGTACAGCCTCGTTCTCCGATGCCCGAGCCTTCAGCTTTGCATCGGCTTCAGCCTCTTTTTCAATTAACGCAGCACGCGTCTGTTGCAGCAGAGAATACTGTTGCTGTCCGAATGTTTCTTGCTCCTTGGCCTGAAGTTCAGCTGTCTCTAGTGCGCGACGCTGTTCATCCAGCTGCACACGTACAGACATGAGTTCTCCAGTAAGTTCTGCAATACGCGACTGTCCTTCTTGTTGACTAGCATCCTGCTCCTGTTTCTTGTCGGTCAATTGAGAGCGCAAATTAGCCGCTAACTCCTCAAGTTGCTGCTTTGTCTGCTGCAGTGCCACATGAGCACGCTTCTGCTCCCCAGCTTGCATTGACAGCGTCTGTATCTGATGCTCCTTTTCACTTAGCTGCGTTTGTAGAGCATCTCTTCGCCGCTTAAACTCCTCTACTTGGCTGGTAGTCGCCGCCAACTCACCTTGTAGTGTATCTCCGCGAGTTTTTTCACGATCTGCACGCTGGTTTGCAGTCTCTATCTGAGCAGTAAGGTGTGCCTGTTGCTCTTGCATCTCACATTCCTTTTTCTCCCAAGCAGCACTCGCTGTTCTTAGCTTGGCTAGCTCTTCGCCATAACTCGCTAGCTGTGCATGCTTTTCACTTTCTGCAGCCTTAGCACGGTCATACAAAGCACGAGCCTCCTCCAGCACCAACACAGCAGTATGCCGAAGCTGTATCAGCAGGGCGCGAGCTTTCGACGCCAAAGCCTCAATGTTTTGTGCGAGCGAGCTACTCTCGTGTGCTTCTCGACCGAAGACTTCGCACTGCAAAGCTGCACGGTGGTGCCACTTGGAACACGTAAGCTGGAGAAAGCGGCCCGCTCTAGTTCCATCGGCCTTGGTGTCACCTGCTGCTAAAGCTATCGAGACTATGCCCTCGGCATCGGTGTTGGCATCGAATTCGCCCACGACACGCCAGTCATCGGCACTACCTGTGAAACTAGTCACGACACGAAGACGGGTTACCCATCCGTCTTGAGGAGTGTCAGGGCTGGGTTCAGATCCTGCTTCCACTGGTGTTGCAGCAGCAGTGATTTGCTCTTGGCCGGTTGCTGCTGGTGGCGCTGGTGGGTTTAGAATCGCATGGTCCATCGCTGCCAACGCGAAGTATCCTAGGAACTGAACAGTGTCTGCAGATTCCTTGCCTGCTAGGATATTGGAGGTGGTCGCAGCAATTATGACAGCAGGAGCGTTCTCAATTTGTTGCTGCTGTCGCTGATACCAAGCCTGCACATAGTCCAGAACTGCTGTCAAATACTCTGATCGCTCAGTCTTGCTGGGGAGCTGAGCATAGTCACGCTGGGTTGCTGAGACTGCGTCACACGCAAAACCTGTATTTCTCATGACTGCCGAGATCACATCGTGCAGGAATCGCACCGGTGGCCGAGCAAACAGCTTTACGGGGATAACGTCAGTCTTGAGTAGATCCTGCCATGATATGACATGAGCCAACAACTCGTAGGTCAGGTCGTCCGTTCCTTTCACTTCATCAAGTTTGTATCGAGCCCTCGCTGCCTGAAGATCAGCAGTGCTCGCCAATACAAACGTTGAAGCTGGAGCCGGAGCTGTAGCACTAATCAGTGTTGCTGCTTGTGTCTCTGATGAGCCAGAGCTCCCACCTAGTTGAATCTTACCACCACGCACAGATACTGAATCAAAAATACGAGGAAGTTCGAAATCAAGCACTAATGATGGAGTTGCGTCTTGAGCGTCGGGGACCCAACACTGCGCTCCATTTAATCGTGCAAACTTGGCATCTTGAGCTTTCGATGAGGCTGAAAAACACTCATCGGGCAGCAACCGCGATTCCAGACCAAGCGGTGCAACGTCTCCATCTCCTACATATTCTGCAGCGCAAGTATCCTTTGCTGACTTGGCATTCCAAGTATCTTCCCAGGCCCTCGACACAGCCAGAAGCTTAGCTTTGACCTCTTCCCAGCGTTGTGCGACTTCCGAAGTTTTAGCGTCAGCATCTTGCGACGAGACAATATGTAGATCCGCGAATCTGACAAAATATCTTATGACTGTAGCAAACTCGAAAATCCGCTGACGATCGCTCTTGATGGACTGGACGAGAGCCGAACGCTGCGTTCGCACTAACGCCAGAGTAATGGTAAGACCACGCTCACGCTCTTCAAGAAGCTGCTCCTCTTCCTTTGCTACTTTTGCTGCCTGAGCAGCATTTGGGGTCGTTTTTCCAGCGGCTGCAGCCGTCGCGGCAACTTGTTCGGCTTTTAACTGAGCATGGCGCGCCTTCAAACGCAGCAACTCTCGTGTCATCGTGTTAATCAGCGCGCTTCGGTCACTTACTAGCTGACCCTCTAACGTTAGCAGCTTCTCACTTTCATCGCCAATATTCTGCAGCTTGCTACCCATCTGGCTTGCTGTCATGTGCGCTGCTGACGCGGCGGCCGAGTCTTCACGACGCTGCGGCAATAGGTTCTTGGTAGATTTGGTGTTGTCTTGAGTTAGACCACAACGTCGTGCCCAGAGCTCGACGTCCTTCTGGAGCGAATCTCGGAACACCTGGATTAGCGTGCGTAAGTCTTTGGCTTCCCCCTCCACAGTCTTCACTTTCTGAGCAGTCTCGAGCCACTGTACTGCTACCGAAGCCGCTTCAGCATCAGTTCCAGCTGAATTGTTGCCATCCAGATCACGAAGAGCACGCATCATGAGCTCCAGATCACCCTTTTCCTCCAGCAATCGCCACTTCTTGGTACGTTCTTCTCGAATGCGTTGGTCAGCCAGCGCACGCTCTCGTGCCAGTTTTTTCCGCTCCATTTCATGCTGTTTCGAAAGCTTCGCCTTGTCCTCCCAAGTCTGTAGCCTCACACGGTCCATTTCTTGAATCTGCTTTTCATACTTCTTGACAATTTCGTCCTTTTCTTTTGGGTCAAGACCAAGCCCAGCTTCCATTTGCTCTTGAAGTTTTTGCTTGAGTGCCGCAATCTCCTCGTTAAGCTGTGAAATCTGTGACGATGCCTCGTTTTTCTTGGCGTTCACCTTGATACTCTTTGCGCGACTAGCGTACTTAAGAGTACTCAACGTCTCAACGAAGTTGATACTGGCAGGCGAGAGCGTAGCAAGCATAGAGCAGAGACTATTGCCACCAAGCGACTCCTGCAGCACACGCGTAAGCTTTGAGTTACGGTAAGGAATGAACACCTTCTTGCTAGCACGAGAGGCTTCAACGAGAGCGTTGATAACGTTGCCCAACGCACTGAGCGACTTGTTAATGTTGGCTCCTTCACGAAGACGATCGCCCTGTGCACCCGTCGATGCCGCGCGTTCAGAACCAGCAAGATCGACGAGATTGATCTTAGCGAACACACTTTTGGTCTCGTCGTCAGCATCTTTTTGGTGGATCTTAATGGTGAAAATCGAGTGTGAGCGAGAACTCTCAGCATTCATGTGAGTATAGCCTACAGTCCGCGATTGTGCCCCCAGTGCCATGAGCTCCACAATCTCTTCCCGTGTTTCCACGACGCGCTCCTGAAGGTCCTTCACGTAGATTCCAAGGACTGAATGCTCCTTAATTTCCAATCCACCTTTGTTCTTCTTGCCATTGCCGCTGGAATCGAGCAAGTCGTAGATAATTTCGTTGTAAATTTCAAAGAACGAACATTCCACAAGAAAGCGCTTGTTGGGGTGTTCGTCCCGTTCTTTCGCAACACGCTCGAAGATGGCGCGGTTGACTCGAGGAATAAGGCCCTCCAGCGCCTCTGGGCCTCCAGTCACACCTGTCATACTGAAAGACTTACCGCTACCAGTCTGTCCGTAGGCAAAGATAGTACCGTTGTAGCCCCCGAAAGCTCGATCTAACAGAGGCGCACCAATGTCTTCAAACACGGTCTCTTGCTTCGAGTCGCATCCGTACACGAAATCAAAGCCAAATTCGTGCCTTTCGGCCGGATTGTCCATATTTGTGAGCACAGCCGTGCCATTCGGACCACAAGTGAAGCAGGAGACTGACTGCTCTCGATTTTCGCGCTCGTTCATGGGTCGACATCGCACAGCGACGCGAATGTTCTCGGCCTCCTTCTCGTCGGGCTTCATGACGCTTTAAATCACTTGACACTAGCTCAACGTGCAGAGCTTGTCGTCGAACACGACCAGACACTAGGCATATCACGTTATGTCGGTTGCAGCTTCAGCTTGCTGCATAAATATCTTCAGCTCACGCTTTAAAAATACAAAATAGAAATCAACTTTACTGCTCCGTCACGACGCTGAATCCTTGGCTGAAATCCTACCAAGATGAACGAGGTATTTGATGCCGAGACAGGTGAGAAGCTCGAGCTGTTTGTGCCAACCAAAGCCGAATCGAGATCCACTACACCCGATAAACCCATATCGCCACAACCACCTTCTAAAGTGCAGCAAAACTCAAAGCAATCGCGGTCACCTACGCAAGCAGTGCATCGTGAGACGCAGTCATTACGAGAGCTTGGCGACGATGTTGACTGGGAGCGCCAGCAGATCGCCAATGTCACGGTACGTTCTGCAGCTACGGAGCTCGCTTGAGAGCGTCCTTCCGCAACTGATACATGTTGTCAACAACAGAAAGCAGAGACGTGCTTTCGCGAGTCGCTCGCTGGTGTTCGGTACGAGTTGCAGCGTCGTGGGCTCTCAGAAGGTGAGCGTCTCAGTTTGACTACGGAGCTGCTGGAAAAGACCAAACACGGCTACGCGCGACACATTCAGGCACTGGTGGTGGAGGAGTTGGCGCGCGAGATGGACCGAGAGGTGGCTATGCGACTGGAGCTCGCCCGACTTGGCCGCGAGCGAATGCAGCGCCAACACGACAAGGAGCGCGAGTTTTATCGAGCCCAGATCGCCCGCATCCGCGAGGAATGTGAGATGGCGCTGACTGCAGCGGCAGCCAAGAACAACTTGCTGCGATGAGACGTCTATAGCCGAACATGGCGTAGTTGGTTAATACGACCATATTCACTTCACGTGGCTACTTCCATCGGAGTGAATGTCATTCCAAGTCGTTTACATGAGGTGAGCTTTGGGTTTTCGAGAACATTCGGACCAATCACTTGCGAAACCCTCTGCAAACCGATTTGACGGTAAGATCTTCGCGAAGGCACTCCAGTCAGCAATTAGACACACAGAAGTAAGGTGAGCAACAGCGGCACGAAGACGAGATATTTTCCACTCATTCTTCTTTTATTTAGGGTAGAGATCACAAGATGGCCGAGGCTACGAAGAAGGAGCCTGTGGATTTGTCAGGAGACGGAGGCGTGCTCAAGGAGACGTACGTCGAGGGCTCTGGAGAGTTCCCGCCCGCTGGCGACGAGATTCGCGGTATGTAGCCCATGAATCGACAGATACACTCGCAGCAATGGATCTTAACCTTAATCTATGTGTGATTCTGTCTTCCAGCTCACTACACCGGTACGCTGCTGGACGGCACGAAGTTCGACAGCTCACGCGACCGCAACTCGGAGTTTAAGTTCGTACTGGGCAAAGGCAACGTGATTAAGGCGTGGGACCTGGCCTTCGCCTCGATGAAAGTCGGCGAGGTACGATGATGCATTGAACATTGTAGCCGGGATCAATGGACTGATTGGGTAATTATCTGTGACTGCAGAAAGCTATTCTGACCTGCAAACCCGAATATGCTTATGGCGCGAGCGGCAGCCCGCCTAAGATCCCTGCCAACGCGACGCTTAAGTTCGATGTGGAGCTCCTGGGTTTTAGTCCCAAAGCCAAAGAGATGTGGGAGATGGACGCCGAGGAGAAGATCGCCGAGGCGACCAAGCTCAAGGCTAAGGGAACAGAGCAGTTCAAGGCCAAGCAGTTCGACACTGCAGCTGCTACGTACACCCAGGCTGCCTCGTACATGGAGGACATGTATGATGTTGCTGACGAGGACAAGAAGACGATGAAGCAGCTGCAGACCACTTGCTTCTTGAACGCCGCGATGGCGTACCTCAAGGTCGACAACTACTCGGAAGCTGTGTCCGTCGCCACCAAGGCTTTGAACAACGATCCTTCCAACGTCAAGGCACTATACCGTCGTGGTGTGGGTCGCATGCACATGAACGACCTGGAGCGTGCGAAGGAGGACCTCCTGGCTGCTGGCAAGCTGGATCCGGCCAACCGTGAAGTGCGCCGCGAGTTTGAAGTGTTGAAGAAGAAGATGAAAGAGGCGCGTGAGAAGGAGAAGTCTGTGTTCGGCGGATTATTCGGCAAGGTATCCATGTACGACGACAAGTCTGCTGTGGAGGTTGAGCCGGTACTGGACCCCAACAACCCGAAGGTTTTCTTCGACATCAGGATCGGTGAGGAGGACGCCGGCAAGGTTGTGATGCAGCTGTACAAGGACATTTGCCCGAAGACAGCTGAGAACTTCCGTGCGCTGTGCACAGGCGAGAAGGGTAACTGCTCGACGGGGCAGCCCCTGCACTACAAGGGCAGCTCGTTCCACCGCGTGATCAAGAGCTTCATGATTCAGGGTGGCGACTTCACTCGTGGTGACGGTACGGGCGGTGAGAGCATCTACGGTGAGAAATTCCCGGACGAGAATTTCCGACTCAAGCACACGGAGGCTGGTCTGCTGTCCATGGCCAACGCCGGTCCGGGCACGAACGGGTCGCAGTTCTTCATTACGACTGTGCCCACGCCGCACCTGGACGGCAAGCACGTGGTGTTCGGTAAGGTGGTGGAGGGCTTCGATGTGGTCAAGCGCGTCGAGGGCCTTGAGACGGACAAGGGCGACAAGCCCACGCAGCCCGTCATCATCGCTGACTGCGGCATGTACGAGGCATAAAGAGTAGGAAGGCGCAGCATTCACTTGTTCAAGATATCCTCAGTGAATGTAGCCATTTTAGTCCCATTTATTTCCGAAAAACTACAACTGTGCTCTCATTGGTCGAAAAACATTGGGGTCAGTTGACTGGCGGCTCGACGTCGCTTTGGCTCATTCCTAGCCAACCGCAGCAGTGCGCATTCCAAGGCATCACGCGCAGGCGGACGTAGGCTCTCTCTTCTGCAGTTAGACCCGCCGCCATGGACGCGGCTACAGATCAGACCATCCTCCGTCATGAGGTGGCGGAGGTGGCCTTCGGCTTCTACAGCGATGTCGAGATCCGCGACCTTAGTGTCAAGCAGCTTACCAGCCGCTTGAGCTTCGACTCGCTTAACAACCCTGTGGTGGGCGGCCTGTACGACCCCGCATTGGGTCCCGTGGACTTCAACATGATCTGTCCTACATGCCACCAGACGCAAAAGGAGTGTCCTGGTCATCTCGGTCACATTGAGCTGCCTGTGCCCGTGTACAACCCCGTGCTCTTTGGCCAAATGCTTAACCTGCTCAAGCGCAAATGCTTCACTTGCCATAAGTTCCGTGTGGCCAGCGCTCGCTCGCGCGTTGTGCGTGTTAAGATCCTTTTGCTGGACAACGGCTTCGACAACGAAGCAGCCCAGCTAGGCGAACTGCTCGAGCAGCGCAACGGCGTCGAGGACGAACCCCCGCAGCGAACGTTTCAGCGCCAACAGGCCATTCTGGATGAGTATGAGCGCCTCGCGCTATCCAAGAGCAGCAGCAGCAGCAACGGCAAGACGCAGCTGCTGCGTCCACTGCCTCGCGTGGCTGAGGTGACTCGCGAAAAGCTCGCGATTGAGTTTCTCAAGAGCATGAAGAACAAGTGCGAGAACTGTGGATCCATCTCACCCGCTATCAGACAGGATGCCAACGCCAAAATCTTCCTCAAGGGACTTAGCGCACGCTCTCGCAAGGTCAACCGGTCCAAGAACCTGACGGTGACGTCTGCTCTAGACACTATCCGAGGCAATGTGTCGGACAAAGAGGACGAGAATATGAACGGAGATGACTCCGAGTCGGAAATGGAGGACGATGAAGATACGTACCCAGCCACGGAGGACTCGTCGTCACGTAGCAAGTTCCTGCCTCCTCTTGAGGTGCAGTCTCAGCTGCAGTTGATGTGGCAGAACGAGGATGGTCTCATGGAACTGCTTTACGGTGACCGCAACATTGCTAGCGGCCGTGTCTCTGGTCGTAAGCCCGACGGATGGCGCAAGTTCTTCCTTAACGTGATTCCTGTTGCGCCTTCACGTTTTCGTCCGCCCGTGTTCATGGGCGACAAGCAGTTCGAGCACGCTCAGAACTCTCATCTGTCGAAGATTATGACGCTTAGCGAAAGCATTGTTCAGAGTGACTACTACAAGCGCCAGGCCACTACGACGTCTGACGAGGATGACGCCGAGAAGGAGGAGCAGGTGAATCTCTCACGTAAACTCGCTCTGTGGACGGAGCTGCAGAACGCTGTCAATCTGCTGGTGGATAGCAGCAAGGCCAAACCGGGTACCGACGTTGCGCAGGGTATCAAGCAGGTTATCGAAAAAAAGGAGGGTCTTTTCCGCAAGCACATGATGGGTAAGCGTGTCAACTACGCCGCTCGTTCGGTTATCTCTCCTGATCCGTACATTAGTACCAGCCAGATTGGTGTGCCGCTACGTTTCGCTAAGACTCTTACGTACCCACAGCCTGTGACGCCGTGGAATGTGGAGGAGATGCGTCAACTTGTTACCAACGGACCGGACGTCCACCCTGGCGCTAACTTTGTGGAGAGCGAGAATGGACGTTTGATTGACTTGAGCAAGCGTACACCGCACCAGCGTGAGGCTATCAGTAAGACACTGCTTACGCGCTCTGCAAGCGCCCAGGGCACCAGCAAGAACCGAGTGAAGCGCGTTTGGCGCCACCTGAAAACTGGTGATGTGGTGCTGATGAACCGACAGCCGACACTGCACAAACCCAGTATTATGGCCCACACCACTCGTGTTCTTACCAACCCGAAGATGCAGACTATTCGTATGCACTACGCCAACTGTAACACGTTCAACGCCGATTTCGATGGTGATGAGATGAACATGCACTTCCCGCAGAACGAGTTGGCTCGTGCGGAGGCTTACAACATTGCGTCCAATGACAACCAGTATATTGTGCCGACGGATGGTTCGCCGCTGCGTGGTCTGATTCAGGATCACGTCGACTCCGGTGTGAAGCTGACTCAGCGTGACACGTTCCTCAACAAGGATATGTACATGCAGCTACTGTACAACGCCTGGGCTAGTATGGAGGATGCTGGAGTGGAAAAGGCACACATTGAGACTGTGCCGCCTGCTATTCTCAAGCCGGAGCCGCTCTGGACGGGTAAGCAGGTTATCACCTCGGTACTCAAGCTCCTGACGAAGGGCCTACCGCCTCTGAACTTGGACAGCAAGGCTAAGATTAAGGGCGACCTGTACGGCTCAGCGAACAACGAGCACATCGTGATTTTCCGCGATGGCGAGCTGCTTCAGGGTGTGCTTGACAAGAGTCAGTTTGGTGCGAGCATGTACGGTATGGTGCACGCATGCTACGAAGTGTACGGCGCCCGTATCGCCGCTGATTTCCTGTCTGCGCTTGGTCGTCTGTTCACGTGCTACCTGCAGTTCGCTGGACACACTTGTGCTATGGAGGATCTGACGCTTAACACATCTGCCGAGAAGCGCCGCCACAAGCTCGTCAAGGATTCGGAAGTCATGGGCGAGGAGGCTTACGCTGAGTTTGCTGGTCTTACGGAACTTCTCGAAAAGAAGCGAGCAGAGGAGAAGAATGGAAAGAAGCGCCGCATGAACGAGGAGGAACGCGCGCAGATCCGCGACCGTATGCGCACGCTGTTGTCTGGACCTGACGCTGACTACAACGCAAAGGCTCTCGATGCTCACATGATGGGCTGCGTGCACGGATCCAATAGTGACATTATCAAGACGTGTCTGCCGTCCGGCCAGTCGAAGGCGTTTCCGAAGAACAATTTCTCATTGATGGTGCTGACTGGAGCCAAGGGCTCCATGGTCAACCACTCGCAGATTTCGTGTGGTCTTGGTCAACAGGCTCTTGAAGGCCGACGTGTGCCTATCCTTTGCAGTGGTCGTTCACTGCCGTCATTCGAGCCATTCGACCCTGCCCCGCGCGCTGGTGGTTACGTTACGGATCGCTTCCTTACTGGTCTGCGCCCTCAGGAGTACTATCACCATTGTATGGCTGGCCGTGAAGGTCTGGTTGATACGGCTGTGAAGACCAGTCGTAGTGGTTACCTGCAGCGTTGTCTGATCAAGCATCTTGAAGACCTGAACGTCGGCTACGACCACACTGTTCGCAACAGCGATGGTAGCGTGATCCAGTTCCTGTACGGTGAGGATGGTATTGACCCCGTGCAAAGTGCCATGTTGTCTGGCAAGGATGCCCAATTCGACTTCCAGGCGATGAACCACCGCAGTATCTCGCACAAGTATGGTATCAATGCGAAGTTCTTCGAGAACACCAAGCTGGACATCATGAAGCCGTTGAAGCTACACCAAGAAGTTCGCGAGGCGAAGGAGAATAACTACGTTAACACGTCGTCGCTGCTGAGGGCTGGTGTTAAGGTTATGGCCCGCCGTTTGAAGCAGGGTGAGACCAAGTGGAAACGCGGCAACATCGAGTTGGGCTTCCATGCTGCTGAGATTGTGGCTTTGGCAGAGGAGAACGAGGATGGCCGTGAGTGCAAGTACGACATTAAGTATTTGGACACTGGCCTGAAGTCGTTTGGTGTTCCTCGCACTGCCAAATTCAAGGCGACCAAACCGACGAACGCAACTCGTGCCATGTCTGGTCGGGTAGACATCATTAAGGTGTCGCTAGAGGATCCGGTTATGCAGAGCCTGCCACTAAGCAAACATGTTGGTTTGATTTCGGAGCGTATTCAGGACAAACTGCGCAACTACAACACGCGTAACCCGTCTAGGTGCCTTGAGTTGATGAAAAAGAAGAAGAGCAAGAAGTCGAAGAAGAGCAAGCGTGCTGCAGAAGGCGAAGTTGATCGAGAGGTCATGCAGTCAAAGCACGTCGTGAGCCCTGACGCTTTCCAGCTTCTTGTGTGGGTGAATTATCTACGCAGTATGTGTGCTCCTGGTGAGAACGTCGGTATCCTGGCTGCCCAGGGTATTGGTGAACCGTCTACCCAGATGACGCTCAACACATTCCATCTTGCTGGTCACGGTGCTGCTAACGTGACGCTGGGAATTCCGCGTTTGCGTGAAATTATCATGACAGCCAGTCAGAAGATGTCTACTCCTATGATGACCATCCCTCTCCGTGACGATGTGGAGTCGTCCCGGGCACAGGAAGTGGAGCAGCGTCTGAACCAGGTCGCGCTTTCGGAGCTTATCAACAATACCAACGGTGTTCGTGTGAAGGACCAGTTCCACAGTAGCGAGAATGGTATCTTGTGGGTGCGCGATTACCAGATCCGTCTCACTTTTTTCAAGCTTAAGGAGATCAAGAGAGTGTTCGGATTGAGTGCCAACCAGGTGTTCAACTCTGTCGGACGGGGCTTCGTCGGCAAGCTGCTTACGCTAATCTCCCGGGAGATGAAGAAGAGCGGAGTGACTGTTTCAGCTGTGGCGGAGAAGAACAACTTCAAGGCTCCTTCGGGCGCTGACCGGAAGAAGACAAACGATGACGACGAAGATGATGACGATGAGCAAGGTACGCTTCGCTTTGGCAGCCGTGGTGAAGTCCAGGGCTATGGTGAGATGGACGAGGAGGACGAGAAGATTCGCAAGGCTCAGATGGCCGATGACTCGGACATCGATTCCGATGATGAGACTTCGGGCATTAAGAAGAGCAACGACGCGGAGTCTTCCGATGACGAGCCAATGGAGAACGGCTCCGCAAAGAAGTCCAAGAAGCAGCAGAGGAAGACTTTTACCGCTGATGGTATGGAATCCCTCGAGGTCCCGAACAGCGTGCGCAAGAACCCGTACTTTGTGTTCTGCGGACGCAACGACAAGGAGAACTACGTGGAGCTGCACCTGCGTTTCCCCACGCACTCCAAGACGCTGTTGATGGTGCCGCTTGTAGAAAGAGTTGCCAAGCAGGTGCTGGTGCAGTACTGCCCAGGCATTTCGCGATGCTACCTGATCAACCAGCGCATCGGCGAGTCGCAGGAGGAGAAACCGTGTGTACAGACGGAAGGTCTCAATTTCCAGGAGATCTGGGGCTTTGACGACATCCTGGATGTCAACAACCTCGCTACCAACGACATCTACCAGGTGCTGCAGACGTATGGTGTTGAGGCTGCGCGCGCAAGTATTTCCAAGCAAATTATGGACGTGTTCGGCGTGTATGGTATCAGCGTTGACCCGCGTCACCTAAGCTTGCTTGCCGACTACATGACCGCACAAGGCGGATACATGCCACTCAACCGTATGGGTATGAACAACAAGGGCTCATCTCTGCAGCAGATTACGTTCGAGACGTCCATGAAGTTCCTGTCCCAGGCTGCGTTGGGTGGTCTCGTGGACAAGCTAGAGAGTCCATCAGCTCGTATTGTGCTTGGCCAGCCGCCGCGTGTGGGCACGGGCACCTTCTCGCTTTTGCAGCCGATTGCATTATAAGCAGAAGTCACCCACTACACATAGCAAATAGAAGTGCAGCAGGTACAACACGAGCCATGTTCATATTTTCATGACTGCAACCTACAATATACACGTTCGTAAAGAGAAAAAAATCCTCCGTTATTCTTCACGTCGTCCTGGAAGTAGGTGAAGTTTGAACACTTGCTCTGCGCTGGAGCGTTTTCGTTTCAGATTCTGGGGGAAGATTAAAGCTCAAACGGCGAGGCATTGGAGGCTTTGACGGGGATGGCGGGTTATCGACGGACTCAACGCGAATTGGTTGGTCTCCAAAATAATTGCTATCACTCAAAGTGATTAGTGCACCAAGAACTCGATAAAGAGCAAGACTGAAAGAACCAACTACGTACTCGTATCGCTCCTTTTTCCAGTACTTCTCGAAGTGGTTGAGGAAATACTTGGTCACCTACGTGAGGTACGTTAGTTGGCGATCATTCTCAAAGACTCATGGTTCGCACATCAAGTCGATCCGACTTGAGGACGTCTGTGATTTTGAGAGCGCGAGGCGAAGTGGAAGCCACATGAGCTGGAGTAAACCTCTGCATTAGTGTATTCAAGTGACAGGCAGTGTGAGCTTTGTGAAGGAAAAGAATCCAACTGAATTGTGCAATCGTACTTCAGACTTCTGTCTGCAGGGACAGTATTGTCAACGCAAATTCTCTTCGACAACCGTATGAGCATCTCGCAGAACCCAGCATACGTCAGAACCCGGTCGTACTCTGTGGCCGGGGCTTTTGGGAGACTATCAATATACATAGTGGCGAACTCGGTTGTTGTTAGGACCCCGTGAGAAATGATGCCATACTTGCGGCCAAAAGCGACAGCTTCGGCGTAGCTCAGATGGGGTGGGCAATATTGAGCCATTTTCGGGTCGATTATTTCAAGCTTGCTATGGCTTTGAGCGGCGTAAAACATGAAGATCTGACGCAGCAACAGCAGTTAGTCACAGTGCTGTTTAAGACAAGAGCAAAACTAACCTTGGTGAGGGGGTCTTCAAAAGCTGCGAGCACCTTCTTGCACTCCTGTAGCTCTTGAGCGACCACCACACGGTTTCTAAAGCCATGATGTGTCAGTTCGCATTTTCAACTTACAAGTTTATCGAGCGTACCTCGACTTCTGTTGTTTTTCCAGACACGTGCGGACGAGGGAGTCATATGCTCGGCTCGGATCCTTATCTCCTGACTAAAAAAAGTATCACCAGGGAGTTATGACTCACTATTCAAACGGATGCGCCAAAGTTTCGCACCATTTTCGCGAAGTGCAAAAGCAACGCTGAAAACGCGGTAAAGTCGAGCTTCTTAGTGCTGTCACGGTCGGTGGGGTGGGTTTTGAGAAAGGCCTCGCACACGATGGCAACTTCTTTTTCAATCATCTTGGCCTCTTCTGTGTTGCTCCCGTCGATAATTCCACAGTCCTGCAGCAGCTTCACGACGTTTACGACGCGGATGCGTGTGGGATCTTCGCTCGAGATCTGCAGCGCATACGCCGTGAAAATCTCCCACAGTCTCTCCTGCTGCGAGCGTTTCCGAGCCATAACGAGACTCGCGTCAAACGGTGAGTCATACTTCTGCTTGCTTAGCTCTTTCACCTCACTCGAGCTCTTGCTCTTCGTCAAACTGTTGCTGGATCCGCGTCGACTGCCGTTGTCACTATGAGGCGATGTTGATGCGCTTTTTGCGTCCGCCATCGCTACGAGGTGTCTGAAGGTATCGAACTCTGAGGTCTCTAATGATAGCGCTTCAAAAGAACTTCAACTTCCTCACCCAATCATTTGTCGATATAATATGCAGCCATTTCCTCAAGTTTTTTTTGTGTACCACACTACTTCTGATTGAAAGGGAGGAAAGCTTGCTTACAAAAACCAAGTCAATGGAGACTCGAGTCACAAGTGACCAGCTCTTGGTGCCGCTCGAGAAGTTTGAGGCTAATGACCAGCTCGCCGGAACGCAACGCAAGCGCGAGCACAACGTGGACGACGAAGACAAGGATGCACAGAAGCGACGTACCGTGAGCAGGCAGTCGCGGCGCCACAACTGGCAGCCCAAGTACGAGATGGAATTCGGGCTCCTGGCCATCGAGCGAGATCCGGTCTCGAACGACGTGCTGTTGGCTATGTGCGGCTTCTGCAAGGCCTTCGGGCGGGAGGGCAAATACGACCAGCTGGTGCAGCAGGATCAGGAGTCTGGAAACGATACCAAGAAGCGGCGCAGACGTTCGCTAACCACCACCAAGTTCTTTCGTGCATTCCGAGTCGACAACATCCGAAGCCACTTGCAGGGCGCTCACCCACGGCGGTGGGCGGAATATGAGGCACTGCCCAAGCAGGAGAATGCGAGAACTCGCTATTTGCAGTTGCAGAGCGATCTGCAGACGTACGACCATCTCCCCATGGTCGACGACGTGGTGCTCGGGGGCCCAGCGCTCAATGCAGAATCGGACATGACCTATGCTCATGCACATGCGCTCGCCCAAGCTTCGGCGATTAGTGAAGCACAACATGTGGCAGCACAGGCGGTACATAATGGACACACCTCGACTGGATTCAGTGGAGGTAGTCAAAACAGCACGCAGATGACGGCGTCCTTGGTGCGTTTGTTGAGTGTATTCTGGTTTGATCGCTGGTCTAACTGTGCTGTGGTTGGTGCGATTGGTTGGTTTCGTTGGTGCTGTCATGCTTCAGACTTACAATGGTAAGCCATTTTACAACATGGATACTGCAAACTTCAACAGTCTCGTCAAAACTAATTTGTCGGTGTTTGCAGCTTCAGGTGTTGCTTCGAGCTCGGCGTCAGGATCAGCCAGCACTCGTAATGCGCACTTCGACTATGAAAAACACTTGACGGAGCAGATCGCGTTGGACCGTGAACGACTGGAATTTGAGAAAATGCGCTTTAAAAAGGAGGTCGAGCTACGCGAGCGTGAGCTGGCGCTTCGAGAGAAGCACATGGAACAGCAGATTGCTTTGCAAGAAAAATTGTGTGAGGCAAGCCGCGAGAACGCACAGATTGAGGGCGCCAAGTTCTATCGCTTAGCCGAAGTTTTGCGAGATGCGATCACAGGAGCCCAAAACTCATCGGAAGCGGCTTCTGTCGTGTAATTACAGTACTGTCGGTAAACGTGTTGTTCCAGAAGCTCTATACAGGTATAATTTGTCCGCAGGTTTTTTGTTGAGGGTAATATCAAGCATGTGCAGTTTCCAGCCGAACCAGCTTGCTGGCCTAGCGTCTCTGTCTTATGGTATTGCGGAGAACGGGTTCATGCACACAGCAACAACCATTCGAGCAAATAGAAAATACTACTTCTTGGAAACTAAAAAGGTTCGACTACAGTCTTCAGTGGTGGATACCTGGCTGTGCAGCTTTCTTGGGCTGACGGCTTGATTTCCGGTTCACGTTCTTCCTCTTCTTAGAGTGGGTATCATCAATTGTGGTATCACGTGGACCCAATTGAATATCCTGGACTGGAGTGCTAATTTCTTGCTTGGAAGCAGAAACGTCCAGCTCGTCGTCCTGTCCGATAGTTCCAGACGTGCTCATTTTACCTGACTGAGTCTCATAAGTGCTCCTTTCCGTCTCGCTCTTCAGTTCTGCCTCAATTGCCCGTCCATCTTGGTTGCTACGGACCACCTGCATTGGTTCTTTCCCTTGAACCACCGTCATTGTGCTCAGTTCGATTTCATCCTCGACCATTGTGATTTCGTCGTTCAGAAGGGCATCAGATTCGACATCGATCGAATCATCAGTGAATCCTGGTCCTTCGACTTTGCCTGCTGGGGCCGATGCCACTTGATTCTTGGGTTTTACCACCTCGACTTCCACTTGGGTTTCACTTGAAACTTGCTGTAAATCAGTTACTGCTTCGGGCTCTTCTGAACTCTCCGCCAGTGACATAGCAACTTCGCTTTGTGGAGCAATTTCCAGCTTGATGTCAATGTGAAGTTTCTTTACTTCCGCATCAGATGTCACTTCAACCTCTTCCACTTTCTCATTGCCGACATCAACCTTAGTAGTAGTTTTCGATTCACCTTCGTCCACTTCCTTTAGCCTAACTTCTCCACCGTGTGCTGTCGAGGAAGATTCGGAAAACGACCCCATCGTCGCAGAAGCGTCAAGTTCGTCCACTTCTATTGGCTCAGCCGAGTCTATCATTCTGTGCATCGGCTGGATAGCATCGCGATCCATTCGCTTTCCCGACTTAAAAGGAGAAGCTTCCAGTTTGGCCTGCCATTTATCGCTCAGTGATGACTCATCTTTTCCGGCTTGAGAAGCAGAAGTCTGTGGCGTTGATCGAGACCATCCAGGAATGCTCTGCTTATCCTTCACACGAATGCGAACATCTTCAAAGCACAGATAATCCTGAGCCTTGAGTGGGTTTGGAGGGTCACGATAGCACGGAATGAAATGATCCAGCGACTTGAAAGTCACGGCCACGTTACCTGCTTCGAACGTGGAAACAAACTGCTTATCACAAGCATCAACGTTTGATGTAGTAGCACACCCCCAGTACGCTACCCAAGTAACGCTTCCTCCTGGTTTCAGATTCTTCCCATCTAACGCAACTAGCAGTTCTTCATCCACCATGGCGAATGTCGGGTCGACCTTGTGTATCTCTGGCGCAGGAAAAGTTGCGTCGTACAGTTGAGTAGGCACATCCACCACAAACATCACCGCCATCAACACCATCAAGTATTTCGCCCATCGACGATGATAATGCAGCAACAGCCACGTATTCAGCAACAACAGCGCCGCATCAATACCCACAGGCATGCACAACTCCTGTGCCACCGTCCTTTCCCACTGAAGTAGCGCCGCATGACACGTCTCCGCCGCGCGCTGCATCTCGTCAATCTGGACATTTAGTTTTACTAGCGTATTGCTCACATTGAAAACGTCAGGCAGATCTCGGCAGATCGTCCAGTACAGCAGCACGAGCCCAAATATTATAAAGATCACATTAGTGAGTGCACAGCCGAAGAGTTCCTTCATGGAGCGACATTCCAACGGCCAGAACCTATCCATGACAATGGAATTGCACCAAAATCAGCTTTTAGCCCCAAAATTACGCAAGCACCACCATATTAAATACTGTAAAAAGTATTCTCACCCGTAGCTCTTGTGCCTCAAGCACGGGGCACAGAGGATTAGTAGTGGCGCCAAGGCCACGACCAGTAGCGACCATAGCGTTGACCGGATGAATCCAGGCGTGTCAACCATCACCACATCTTCAAAGTCTCCATTTTCACTATCGCTGTCCGGATGATCCTGCACGTACTGATCCAGGAAGTCTACCCATTTGGGGCGGCGCTTGAGGTTTTCTAAACGTTCCTCGATGTATTCAGGCGAGCCCACATCCAACGGCTGCAGTTGGTGGCTACGCTCCGGCGTAGAGGGCGCGCTGTCGTTGTCGCCGTCGAGGTCGTAACTGCTCTCGGCCTCGGGCTCGTCCGGCGCCCGTAGCCGCATGCGCATCGCCTTACCTTCACTTGGTCTTGATCGTTTTTGGGCTGAAGACTGTTTTTATTATTTGACCCCAGTGGTATTGCTATAATGAATATACTCTAAAATATCATATTATCAGTTGTCTTTCAATATATGCATAAAGTAAATAGGATTTCATAATTTAGTCTGTTATTATCAAACATTTGATAGCAAGTGACCGAGATTTTGTGGATAAGAGGATCATGGACGACTCGAGCGGACCGAGTATGGGACAAATCGTGGCCTACCGCGCCATGAAGTTCGCGGAGGAGTCTCGCGAGAGCTGCTGGAAGCGCAGTGTGGTGGCGTGCGTTGCTGGTGCAGCCATGGGTGTCGGTCTTGGCACGTTCCTTGGCACGTTTGAGGGTGCTCACGGAGAGCTGGTTGGTCGCAATATGCGCGAACAGGTATCGACAATTCACTGCGAATTGTTAGTAATAAGGAAGTAAACTGACGATTCACTGCTATGCTGTTTTACAGCTCTACAACGGTTTCAGCAAGTCCATTAAGGCTGGCTACGTACGCAGCGTCTACTTTTCCAAGGTATGTGGGGGCAATGGAGATTGAAAATTTAGCGCATTGGTTATTTGCTATGTGCTGTTGCGGTGAGCAGGAGTTTGCATTAGTTGGCAGTATCTTCGCTGGCGTTGAGTGCGTGATTGAGCGCGAACGTGCGGCGCACGACATCTTGAACCCCATCTTGGCTGGCGGAGTGTCGGGAGGAGCACTGGGTGCGTGGGCAGCGCGGAGTTCGGGTCCTAAAAGTAAGTTCATGCGCGGTAAGCTTCGAATTGTTCTGGTTTGAGTCGATAACTAACGTGTGGTGGTTGTGTTGTGGCAATTAGTGCTGGTGCAAAACACTGCCAAGGGTGCTGCGGGCTTTGCTGTCATGGCTGTTGTGTTTGAGAAGGGCATCGAGTTCCTTACAAATTAGACTGCAGATAGACGCTGGGAAACTAATAGACACTTTGTATCTACACTTATGTGGAACTGCTGAATGAGCAAGAAGTAAGTAACTTAACTCTCTCCTGTTGCGTCTAAATATCCTTGAAGACAAACGGTGTTTCAAGCGTGAACGATTCCCCGTCTGGCACCGCGTCTGCTATTTTTTCGGGGATGCAGCGGAACGAGACAACCTGGAGTGGTTCATTCATAGCAGACTCGTCTGAATTTCCGTTCATACTTTTTTTGACCGAAGATTTTTCGGGTGACGAAGGCTTCTTGGTCAATGATCGATGAGGGTTGTACTTGATAGCCACGGCAATCATCCCATTCTACAACATTTCAACGTCAATAGCAAATGAGATTCCGTAATGTATGAAGTAACGAAGCAGAGTACGAGCGTACAGCTGAAATGCGGAATGTAGCCTTTGCAGGATGAACCTCTGGGTTGGTCTCATCGCGCTCTTCTGTTTGCAACGTTGCTTGTGTCTTGGTGACAATTTCCAAAAGTCCTGATCTGTCCTCGATCTCGATCAAATACGGCAATGGCGACGTGTTCTGCAGAAAAATGTTTGTTGGTGGAGCTGGCGCGGTAATCTAGAACAGGTGACCAGATATTAGTAGAAGGAGGAGGTTATCAGCTCAATGCAACTCACGGATGACGGCTTTTTAAACGTGAATTCGTCTGGTGTCACAATAATGTGCTTGGGGATCGTCCGTGGCGTCTGCGCTAGTGCTGACTCTTGAGTCTGCTGCTCTTCCTCGAACGTATTGAAATCATCTGAGAACGAATTACGACGCTGGACTGCTCGTGGTGACCGCCCAATCTCCACTTCTGGAGCATTTAGGGCGTATCTGGTTCCAAACCACGCTGGGAACTCGCCTTTTGCCTTCTTGAAAATCTCAATCTCGGCTGCATCTTTACCGAAGCCGTCCAATTGCTTCGCAATTTCTGCCCAATTGCTCATGTCAACAGGGAGATTAAGCACCTGCAAACGTTCAAATGAACTTATCCATTATCTATACCAGACTGAGGATGATAAAAGAGACGAACCCGCCATTCGACTCGCTCGGATGAATGGATATCGTGAGTGAAAGGAAAGCCCACGTTAACCTTCAACACCTTGTGGTAGACGTTCTCAAACTCGCGGCAGTAATCGAGCACGAGATCGCTCAATGACTCGAACTTTAAGTCCTTGTACATAAGCTTATCGCATCGACTTAGGCCCAACGCTCCCCATTTTTGCTGTTGGTGGTGAATACCAAGAATGACGTGGCGGTGCGTTGATTTGCCCGCTGCTGTCTTAAAGCTGATAGGAAAACGCTCGAGATTCGACATCCCCGCCGTTAGGTAAGCCCCCAAGAAAACTCCTTCTAGACACTGGATTGGCAGGCCCTCCTTGAGGATTTCTTTTGCAGTGTTCACTATACTCTTAAAGCTCCGATTCTTGTTCACATCGAAGTACAGAGTCCCTGTGTAGTTGTATCTGATTGTCACAAAAAAAAATTGGTAAGATAGCGATGCACCCAGCAACTCGCTTTCACCTACTCGAGGGAAGTAATGAGACTCTGGATAGATTGGAGCTTGGTTTTCATAGGCACCTTGGGCCCGAAATTGGGAAGCTTCGGCTCAGGAGGCTTTGTTTCAAATCGGGCGTTAGTGATTGATACCCCCTTGATCAACTGATAGCAAAGATACCTCAGGAAGTATTGCCATGGCCTTCACCTTCTCCCAGGCATCTTGCAGCTCGTCGCTTGAGATCGCTGCCATGGCATCGATCGAATAGAAGGTTGGTTCTCCTTGAATATACACTCGTCGTGTGTTGCGCGATGCCATCATGCTAAAAATGGGCTCTAAACTGCACCATTCACTAAGTTTGGCTGTTGCTGGCAGCACTTGCTGCAGGAGGTAATTTGAGCCGGGCATCGGAAAGACTTGGCTTAACCATTTCAAAAGTGATTTAGGTACTTGAATCGAATCATACGCAACATTGCCTACTTGAAGAATACAAATTTGCACACGGCCCCTTAGCGAAGCTGCGCCATAAAATTTATAGCCCCTTGCTTCTTAAGACGCGCCAGAACGGGGTTCTCTTCCTCGGGTGCAGATCCAGATTTGGCTTCCTCGTCAAATTTACGACTCGCACGGCGTTGGCTCCTGCGAAATCGCGTGTGGCTATTTTCCCCTTCGCCACCGCTGCGATCCTCATCACTTTCCTCAACAAAGGAGGAGTTCTGTCGAGATAGCGTCCTCGTCAGGCCCCCGCGAGATAACGGTCGTTCTTTCACTCTCAGTTTCTCCAAACTGCCACTCCCACTTCCACTTTGCTGGCGGTGGCGACTGTGGCGGGATCGACGAGAACGGTTACTGTGGTGGTTTTCATCATCGTCAGTGCTCTCATCGTCGTCATCTTCACCGAGAAAAGATGAGTTACGGCGTTCGAGGTCTGTAGGTCTAGTCCTCGCGTTTTCTGCCTTCCTATCAGTCGACAGAGTCTCTTTACTCATCGTGCGAGGTCGATCCAGTAGGCTGTCGTCGCTGTCGTCATCAGACTCATTTTCCGCTGGATTTTCCTCTTTAATAGGCAATGTCTCGCCGAACATAGTGTTGAACGAAGCACGGCGGTTGAGATGACGTCGCGGATCAGCCAGCCCAGCACGATGCGCAGGAACTGCAGGCGGGCTGTTGTCTGGCTGGTTATCAGGTTCGGCGTCAATTGCTGGCATAGGTCTTTCAACCATCGAATTTCGCCCCAGTAGCGGAAGAGGCTGAACACGCTCCGTCAACACACTGAGGCTGTCTGACTTTGGACGCATTCTGCTGTGCACGGTGTCAGCCTGTTGCTGCTCTTCCTTTTGCTTTTGCAGCACGACGCTTTCTGAAAACTGCTTTGAACGCCTGCGGTGGCGCCTGTGAGTTCGTCGCCAGATAGCGGCTCGAGCCTGCATTAGTTGCTCTCTCTTCACCTCATCGGGAAGCAGCCTTGCCATTTCCGGGATGAGTTTACAGCACTCCTGAGCGCCTACTGCACCAAGGAGGAAGGCGCAATATTCCATAGCAGACGTTTTCTCTCGTCCAAAATCTTTTGTCTGGTCCTGGAAATCTTGAACACGTTCTTCATCGTAAGAGACAAGCTCGCGGACGGTCTGGATGATCTTCTTGTGAAGCTTCTTTGCCGCCTTCGGATCAGTTTCTGGAACGATTTCCACAAACTCCTCACCCTCGTCCTCTATCGCTGCTGAGCTCGTTCTTCTCAGTAAACCCGGCAACGCACGGGCGGATTCCGTGCTAAAGTACAGGGAGGAAGGTGTATTGAACTCGTTGCTCAGTGGCTCAACTGGAGACTGTCCGACACTCTGTGGCTCACTAGATAGTGGCGATTCCAGCATTTCATCGATTTCTTCAGTCTCAGCAAACTTTGAAACTTGGGAATCAGGTATCGGATCAGCACTGGCGGGCGCCTCCAACAATTCGTTGTTATTGTCACCGTTCTCGCCCGATGGGGATGCCTATATAAACCAAAAAGGAGCATATTAAACATGAGTTAATTCCCACGCCCTGGGCTCAATGACCAAAAAGTACTTACGACAATTTCGAAAAAGGAGTCGAAACCGAGGAACTGCTTCACTTTACCGACCAGCACAGGTTCTGTGGAATTTTCAGGCATTTGAAATACCTGCAATAGTGCAATCATGGACAGTGTCAGCAACTATAGTAAACAATACTCAATGATTATAAAAACAAACCTGTTCCACATAGAGAGCAAGCTGCTGCTCCTTCAGCTCCTGTAACGACTTCTTGCGCATACCACCGAAGAGTGAATCGCGCTTGCGGTCTCTTGGGAACACAATCTGCGTCATATGTGCGCCAAACGAGACTCGCAGCTCACTATTACAAAGAAATCAAAGTTAGTAAACCTTCAGCGTGCTTCAGCGAAAATAATACACCATCCACACAGCAACTCACTCGTCAAATGCCTGAAGCTCCGCAAAAGTCTTCCAAACCTTCCACTTGATGCTGGGCTTGTCGATGGGACGTGCAGGTAGCACCAACTGACACGACAATTCAAACTCCTGTTGGTTGGAACATACACAATCAGTAACATCTGGGTCCGCGTCACATAATCAGACGGTGGAAACACGCACCACTGACTCCGTGTGCTCGTCGCGGATGCTGGAGGTGAGCACGGCCGAGAACTTGTGACCGACATCCTCGCTGGCGCTGATTGGGAGACGTTCGTATTCTGTGATGGCCGTGTAAACTGCAAAGAACCAGGCGTCTGTGGTGGCCTTGTCCTTATCCTGCAGCTTGCATTTCTACACCAAAGAGTCCGTCAGAAAAAAAATTATCTAGCTCTACCTACACTATTGCTCTACCGACCTTGCGGAGCCCGTTACCAGCCTCGTAGATGATGAATCCGTCTGGGACCTGCTCTAGTTTGGCGTCACGGAGGTCGATGCGCCCAAGCGGGCGCAGCATGTCCTGATCCGCAAGAGATGAGTACGCGAGCTCCAGCATCTGCGGCTGCAGCTCTACCGTCACGCGTTGCGGCTTAATCTTGCCCGCTTGGTGTCGCCGCGTCGGCGACTCGTCGAGTCTCGAGAGCAACAACAGCCCCTGCATCTGCTTCATGCGACGGCGTCCCCCGCCCATCTTGGTCATCGTCATGCCTAGAGATTCGCGCGATGGCGAATTACGCTTTGGCTGCTGCTGGTCGCCGACTGTGCTTCCTTCTTCTTCCTGCGCCCTGGTCCCTCCCACGCCGCCGTGCTCCGTGAATCTGGCCCAGTTCCAATATCGCATACAGATGGACTGCTGGCTGTTCTATACCCAGAATGTGCCATCAACGGCAATATGTGGTGCACACAATTTGAAAACCTGGATAAAATCTGAAAAAGCATGGTTACTATCCGGAATGTAGATGTACCGTACTTCACGAAACTATTTTCTTGCTTAAATTATGTGGTTAGCAGTAATGTGGTCACAATCAAACGTCCGACCTGGGTTGTCTTCACGTTGAGCCGCAGTTCATCTTGTCGACGGTGGCGTCACAATCGCTCCGGTAGACCAAGTCATAAGCTCATCGCGTGTAAACCTATCGAGCCACACGCCTCTGCCAACCTTCGACTGTATATGACAGCAGCATGACCGGGGAGACAGAGGAGTTACCACGGACGCCCGTGAACCCATCAGAGGCCGGAGAAGGATCTCAATGTGCCGACGCTGCAGCGACTAACGACAACTTGCAATCACCGGCGGCCAGTCGGTCTGCTCCGCCATCCACACGGGCAGCAGACGCTGAGAATCGCAGCTCGTCCCCGTCCATGGGTCCGCCCATGTCCGAGAGCGCCATGTCGTCATCTCTGGAGCTGCTGGGACCACTGGGCGTCGAGCGCGACGGGCTGGGTATTAAAGGGTATCTGAGCATGCGTGACGAGGGTGTGACGTACCACCGCATGAAGCGCTTCTACTGCCGCTGCGTGGGTGTCAACTTCTCGCGCTTCGCGTCTCGAGACGCAGCCTCTGCTATGATTGCGGCGCTATTTAGTGCCGAGGTTCAGAAGGTTGAAGCATGGGACGGCAAGGGTCTTTGGCACACATACCGCCATTCGTTTAAGCTATCGTTCACGTCAGGCGTCGTGTTTAATGTAGACGCCGACTCGGAGGAGGACAAACGTCAGTGGATCGAGTACATCGAGACGGCTCTGAAAGGAACGGAGGCAGCAGTCGAAAAGTGGAGTGCGCATGCCTCAGTGAGCCCTAACATCATGGAACTAACACCTGGCGGTCTTGCGTTTGCTGAGAAGAAATGCAGCCCGCCCAAGTTTAAAAATGATACGACGTGTTGTCACCCAGGTTGCCATGTACGATTTGACAGCACCGGGAAGAGACAGCATCACTGTCGGAATTGTGGAGGATCTGTGTGCTCGGACCACAGCTCGCGGTTTGCCATGCTTCGACATTTCCACATGAATCACGCAGTGCGTCTGTGCATGGGCTGTTATCGTGTACAGCGCTTTGTGTTGTGGCTCGAGATGCTATTACAGCGTCTTAGCATTTCCCAAACAGAGGAAGATGGGATACGAAAGCCCACTCTGTCTAAGGCTGACGAAGAAGAAGTGGAAGCTTTGTTTGCGATCTTTGGAGACGATGCCTTTGGCATTTCGGATGTAATTCAGGTTCTTCATTTGCATCGCCATGGGTGCGATGAAGCGTACGCTTACGCTGTGAACAAACTACTGGAACTTTCGGCCACCAATCTCGCGGATTTTGAGTTCTTTCTACCGCAAATATTTCACATGTGGCTAACAGTGGACTGGACGAACAACAATATTAAAGCGGCACTGCTATTCCGAGTAATTTGTTATGCGACTCAGTTGCACATTCGCCTAGCTACAGCTATCTACTGGCTAACCCGCGCAGCAATCGACGACAGCTGTGGCTGGGGCTTCGGGCAGTCGGAGTTGTATGTACCCGACTTCCTGTATCGGAAGATGAGCATGTGTAAGTTATTGATGATCAACGTGGAGATGCAGATTTCCCATGGCGACTGGTCTTTTGAAACAGACAAGGATTTACCGGCTTCGACGGAGCAAATTGCCATCATTAAGTGCTTGTTCGATCGCCTGTTAATTCTCGTCCACACAAACACGAAGGCCACGATTCCGCTTGGTGCAATTTGTGAAACTATCAGTGGTTGCTCGATCCCTCGGGAATTTTTACTTCCTAGCGATGCACTGTTAGATGATTCTCATCGCGATAACGGAGAGGAACGTCGTATCTTTACCACGCAGATCCAGTTCATCGAGGAGCTGTGCGCAATGACTGAAAGACTGAGATTCTGTGCTCCTCACGAGCGTAAGAAAGCTTTAAGGAATGAACTTCAGAAGATTCAGCTACCAGAAGGGGCTTTTTGCCCACTAGGCTCATGTGAGCATCCACTTCAACGGCTCCTCACGATTGCAAAAGAAGAAGGAACGGTTTTCACTACGAGGGCTCGTGCGCCTACACTCATTTTCTTCGAAGTTGCAAGGCTAACGACAGCATGCGAAAAGAATGCGTGGTTACACCGTGGTAGATCTCTTACGTTCGGCATCCAACACAACAAGGACGAGGAGATTATTGACGTTAACGGGCTTGAAGTGCTGGTTCCTGCCTCTGAAGCCGAAGTAGCGAAAGATGCCATTGAAATGGCCACAAGCAGCGAAATTGCTCAAGTGATTGCGATGGATACTTTTTCTGGTGACGAGGATGAGCAGGACAATGCTGACCCTACTGACGAAAAGAATGTACCAAAGAGCCCAGGAGACGAATCATCATCAGACAGTGACGATGACGATAGCGAAAAGGAGGAGCTAAGAGATCGGGTTTTCTCTGACCCTCCACCACCTCTCGTTGCCCTGGCTCGAGCAGTGGGCGGTAAGAAAAAGCGAAGTCGCCGTGGCCGATCTGGTTCGCTAATGAACTCGACCACAAAGTCGCTGGACTCTATCATTGCATCATGCGCTGATACGATCAAGATTCGACGAAAGCGCTCAATCAGTGAGGGTTCTGGGTTCAGCGGGCTTGAGAAATCGCAGCCTAACAATCTGAGTGCAATGCCGAGTGAGATCGAAAACTTCACAGACGATCAGTTGATCTCCATGGCCCAAAACATGGAGATAAGTATGATGGAAAGTAACCCCTCTGGACATGGTGCTTTTACGGGCAAGCAGATCGTTGACTGGATGACAAAAAACGAGATAGTATCAGATAAAGCACACGCGTTGTGGCTTGGTAGTGAACTGCTTCGCTGCGGCGCTCTGGAGAAGACTTCGCTCTCATCCAATTCATTCAGTGGTTTTGCGGCTAATGATGAGACATCGTATCGGTTGAAGAGTGAATCGAGCGCAGTTTTCCGATCCCTTGAGCGTCGTCATACGCTGCAATACGATGCTCCGCCGGTGTTAGAGCAGTCACCGCGATCAACACAAGAATTAATCTCGGAGTCCAGCGATCGGGAGAAGTCTATGACTCGCACATCGTCGCGTCTAACGTTGAAACCCCAAGAAACGAAGGTGGACATTGCTGGCTTAGCCGATGCCGTCGATGCCAACTTGACAGGGGCAACTACTGAAAGTGCCCCGACTTCGTCCTCAAAAGCTTCAAGACCACTCCAGGAATACCTCGCAGGCTCCTCTGACGATAGACGTTCAATTGCTTCGAACGTCCACGGTGGCTCGTTCATTTTGAAATTCGACCCAGACGTAGCTGTTGCAGCCATGAACTCGGTGGAGCAAGCAATGCAGCAATATGTTCTCCTGCAAGAGGATGTAGCGAACACTGCCCAACTAAGCGAAGACCTCCGCGTACTTAAGGAGCAGCTGAGTATTGTGTACGAATATGTCATCGAGAAACGGAAGCGTCTTCACGTTGCGGTGGAATCAGCATTTGGAGAAAGCTTTGAAGAGAAAAAAGAGCGCTTGCGCGAAATGTCATCCCACGTGGTGGCATCAGAGGCAAAGGATTGGGACTGCATCGCGTTCATCGTGAAATCTAATGACGACTTGCGGCAAGAAGTTTTGTGTCAGCAGATCATTCGTCAACTTCAAGATATTTTCCACAGCGCGAACTTGCCTCTTCGGCTGTTGCCGTACGAGATCATTGCGACTTCGGCGTCTACCGGAATGATTGAGTACGTCAAGAATGCGGTGTCTCTTGATGCTTTGAAGAAGAGGGACAACTACACCACGCTAGCGGACCATTTCCTGAAAACCTACGGCCAGGCGGATTCTGCGGCTTACAAGACAGCAATGACGAACTTTGTGCGGAGCATGGCTGCGTATTCTTTGGCATGCTACTTCTTGCAAATAAAAGACCGGCACAACGGCAACATTATGATCGACAGCGACGGTCACGTGATCCATATCGACTTCGGCTTTATCCTCGGCATCGCTCCTGGTGGTCGGTTTAGTCTGGAGACAGCTCCTTTCAAGCTCACAGGCGAAATGGTTGACGCGATGGGAGGAACTCAGTCGGACTATTTCAAGGCCTACGTCATATTCCTCATCCAAGGCTTTTTGGCTCTACAGGTATAAGTGTACACATACTCTGGTTGTATTGGATATCGTGCTGACCATGTCAACTGTGTTGTGTGAATTTTCTACAGCAACACGCCGATACCATTCTGATGATGATCGCCATCATGGCGCAAGAGTCGTCTTGCCCATGCTTCCTGTCCCAGAACCCACGAGACATCTTGAGCGCCACCAAGCAGCTCTTCCGCCTCGACTACAACCAAAGCCAGGTCATCAAGCATGTCATCAGTCTCGTCCGTCGCAGCCACAACAGCTATCGTACACGCCAGTACGACGTTTTCCAGCGAATGACAAATGGCATTTTGCCCTAAAGCGTAGGAAAGCAAGAAATCGAAAATACGAATATATGGAGAGTTAGCCGATTTTCCCAGTTCACCCCGGCGGTGATCAGATACTCCATCCTTTATTCCGGGTTGACTTTACGAGGGCGACCACGCGGGCGGCCAGTGGCCGTGCTAGTTTTGGCCTTCGCCTTCTTGGGGGATGAAAACGGGTTCTTGGACGACTTTTTCAGCTTCGCCACGGGCATGCTACCAAGCGAAAAGCGATTCCGCGAGAGGGTCGGCATCAACACACTATTGGATTCCTGCGCTGCAGAAATTACGACGTGTAACGTTGAGACGCTGGGATTTACGTGTGCCAAGATAATAAGAATACCACGTACATTTCTGCGTAAGCTCCGACGAAAGCATATCCTGCGATTCTTCCAGATCTTGCGATGTTTCTACTGTGGAATCGTCGCTCATGTCAATCATGTTTGACTTTTTCTCTTTCTTGACAACCACGGATGGCACCTCTTCTCCATCCGTATCTACAACACAATCCAGAGTCGTAAGCTCATCGATCTATTGGAACCACAATATATGTAGTAGCGAATCCTAACCGTTCTTGGTCAAGTCAGCCAGGAGGCTCTGGGAGTAATCCAGCTCCTCCTCGTCAGAGGACGAAGACGAACTACTCTCGACTGGGGTAGCAACCTTCGGAGAGCGCTTCGTTACTTTCACAACAACGGGGGGCACATCGGAGTCCGACGATTCGCTAGCCGTGCTCTCAGAAGACTTCGATGCTTCCTTTAAGCTCTCCTCGGCTTTATCCGCGCTGGCATCCTTCTCGAGTAGCTTGTCCTTAGCCTTTTTCTCATCGGCAATTCGCTTCTTTGTTTCCGCTAAAATCGTTTGGAATCTCGAGGGCTCTTTCTTGGCTTCTTCCTGTGATTTCTGCTTGGTGGTACGAGCAGCTGTCGTTTTAGTAGCAGCGGTTTTTACCGCTTTCGTTTCCTCACCAGAAGCTAGTTCAGCTGCCTGAGTTGACGTGCTGGAGCCCGAACTTGAATCATTCTTAGCAGCCGTAGCCTCGGTACTTTTGGCCTTTTTTGACGACTTTGCCTCTGGCTTGGGTTTCTCGGTCGCCTTAATCGTCGTTGCCGACTTAGGAGACGCCTCCTTCTTTGCACGCTTGGCCGCTGGCTTTTCAACTTCATCTGCTTCAGTGTCGATTTTCTTCTTCGATTTCCGAGTGGGAGGTGACGACTCACTAGCAGTCGACGAGTCATCATTGGCCTTCTCTACCGACTTAGCAGCTGCTTTCTTCTTTGTCGGCTTTGAACTCTCCGCAGGTTTGGTTGGTTCAGCCTTCGTTTCCGATTTGGTAGCCGTCTTCTTCTTTGTTGATTTTTCTGTCTTCGGCTCAGCTTGTTTTTCATCAGCCGGCTTGGACACTTCAGCCGGTTTGGTCCCTGACTTTGCAGCAGATTTCTTCTTCTTGGCTGGGGGTTCCTGGACATCTGAAGCAGCTGTAGAGGCATCCTTCTCGCTAGCTTTGCGAGTTTTCTCATTTTTCGACGGTGCTGTCGACGTTGCTTCGCCTTCCGCCTCATGAAGAGCGTTCACAATCAGAGCAGCACCCGACTCATTGCCATTTTGCTTTGCTGCAAGCATTTTCTTCAGAAGAGCGTTCTCACTTTTTTTCGGGGCGGCCTTCTTTGGGGCCTTTTTGGCGGTGGAATCCTCCTTCTCGGCATCGAACTTAGTCGATCCGTTCGTCTCCTGCTCAGCGTTTTTAGAGTCCTTCACCGCCTTCTTTTCAGCCGTCATTCCGTCCTGCTCCTGCTCTGAAGTAGCCTTCTTCTCATTGGTTTCCTTTACAGCAACTTTCTCCTTCTTAGCATTGCTGGTATCCTTCGCAGCAGGCTTCTTCGAGTCCTTATAATCCTTAGCAGCTACATTATTGGTGTCCTTGGCACCGTTCTTCTTTCCAACATCAGTGACCTTCGTAACAGCCTTTTTCACGTCGTTCGAAGCCTTTTTCTTTGTGTCTTGCTGCTTCTTATCAATAGCGGTCTTCTTTTGCGCTTCCTTTGCTGTCATCTTTTGCGCTTCCTTTGCCACAGTCTTTTTCTTGCTGTTGTGGGCCTCCTTCACCACCGTCTTGGCGCTCTGAGTAGCATTTTTGGCCGGCGTCTTGTGTGATTCGGCCGCAATCTTCTTGGTTGCTGGCTGTTTCGGCTTCTTGGCCTTGTTAACCACTATGTAAATCTGCTCCATGTTCTTGAACACGTTGCCGGCCTGCACGTTCTTGGCCAGGTCCACGAAGACGTGTGGCGCCTGCTGACGCACCTTGCCATGCGCACGGCGATCAACTACCAGCTCAGGCGCCACGCACTTCTGAATTCGTAGGTTTCGGCTGAGTGGTGGTAGATGCGGAAACACGCGAGTGTACTCGTCCACGATAAAAGCCTCCAGGTCGGCAATGGTGCGCAGACACGGCGTCTGGATCAACATCACACGGTCTTCCTCAGGAAGCATGGCCAGTAGCACCATCTCGCCCTCTATCGTCGCCAACGCCGTCGTCATCGTTACCTTGCTTACTTGGGAAATGAAAGACACGCTAGTGGCTCCAAAGCAGTCGTACCTAAACGGATTAAAATAATCTAGCCACCCGTTTAGGTACGAGTTCAAAATTTTCATACACTTTTAGCATTTAGGATTTAGAATTATTGGAAGGATTTTGTGGCACGCCCAAAATTTCTTAAGTTCAAAAATAATAAATCCGAAAAAGGCCAGATGCCGGGCCAAACGAGTTTTAGACTTTAAGAAAAGGCAGCAGTTAAGGAAGCAAGCGGCCTCAAATGGAATCGATCCTCTTCAGCCCCCAATGCTAGAATTCCAAACTTTCGCTACCAAATACCACAGGTGCTTGCAATATTAACTACGACATACACTACAGTAAAGTACCTCGATATCGAGAGGGCAATACTATACAATTCTTGACAGTTTATCGTTTCAGTTTGTACCCATTCATTGCCAAGTGTACTGGTTTAGTGAACTCGCTCAAACAGGTACCTTCTTTCATTCAGATTCGCCAACTGACACTCATATCTGAGCCTTGGGAAGGTTTAACGGTACAGAGTTGGAAGGAACATCCGACTTGCGGAGCTTCGCCCCAAAGTATCTGAATGTACACTATTCAGTATCCTCTCTTGCCGAAACACCGACCGACGCCTGTATACGTCCACCAGCAATTCCCAGGTGGCAATATAAAGTTTCAGAGCTGACCCTAATATACTACGAGTTGATGAGAGCACAAGCCAACTACATTCTTACCTTGTTCGAATTATGCGTCGTCTCGTTGCGACGACGGATTAATCTCGGGAAATAATTAATATGTTACTTGAGCGCTGAAAAAGAGTTTCAGCGTTCCCACGTACTGATTTCTTAGTACTCACCTGTTCCAACTGTTACTATTCAGTAATGATAAATTCGCTTACTCAAATGCTTCGTAAATGCGCACTTAAGGAGGATCATCAACATATGGAACAACTTCAACTTGCTTTTGGTGCGTGGTTGGCACTATTATACTCTCCAACTAAGCATCGTTCAGGGTATTGCGTTTGTATACCGAACCTATGTGTCGTGAGCACGAAAATTAGTATCAAAATGTTTAAGCTATCTATGATCCTGCTTTTTTTAAGCATCATCAACTTGAACACCTTATCCAAACGCATATAATAGATCTTCATCTTAGCATCGTCCTCGAATCTCACCACATCAAGAAGTAAGGGGGGGGGGCTAATTCTGGCTTCGAAATCTTATCGACGCAAGCACATAGGTTGCAAAACTCCCAGCAATAAAATGAAGTCCATAACACAATCGACAGTGTCGTCGTGAAGCGGGCAGGCTTTCCAGCATGTCCGACGAGGAATCGGAATGGGTTGCTCCACCTAGTGTCACCGAGGAATCAAGCGATTCAGAGTTCAGTTATGACTCGTCGTCACCTTCAGAGGGTGCCCAAGCCGCACTCTCTCAGCCTCGGCCATCATCGTTTACTCGTGTTGCATCGTACGATACATACGCTGCGGCAAAGGAGGCATTGGATGATCATAACGGGTTCGTGTATACTTTCGAATCGCGCTACGAGACTACAACGTTGTTAGTGCGGGTTTTCCTTTGCCGGTCTCACCAGATGTGTGGACATCGACTCAAGATCAGAGCGGTCGACATCGGAAATTCTGTCATCCAATTTCATCTGGAGGAAGGGGGTAGACACACCCTTGTTGCTAGACGAGCAAGTCGACGAGGTATTCACATCTCACTACGCGAAGATGTCGACAGTCTACTAAAAATGGGATGGGGGGGCTACAAGACTGCGGACACTACTTCAGCATCGCTACATCGACCACCCGAGAATGTCGACAAACATTCCAACGGTGAGGCAGATCGAGAATCGTAGAGCGTATCTGGTACGATCATGCAATGCTACTTGGGAAATCACGAACCACGTCACGTTTAACGCATGGGCGTCAGACCGGATGTGCACAACCAGGGAAGACTTCATGTCAGTGACAGATGATGGGGATGCTGAAATGGACTCTAGAATTATACTCGACTCATTTGTCATTGGTGGTGGTTCTGAAGGTGATCCTACTTCGTTTGGAATCATTGTCTCTTCGCGGCGTGTGTTTCGGAATGTCTTGCTTCTGTTCGGGGTCAGCCAGGGGAGCTCAGTTGTGCTACAGATGGGACTTACAAACTTCACTTCGCTGGGTGGGTGATAGTCGATTGTGGCTCGGAGCATGTGGCGTGGTCTCGAGGATCGTTTGCTCACAAGTTCGTACCATGGGCATACATGTTTGGAGTCGAAGGAAGCCTACACACGACTTTTTTTTGCGTCATTCGTGAGCGTGCGAGGACATTCTTTGACATCGACGTGGACGTGGCTTTTGGTAGCTTGGACCATAGTGATGCTATAGCTTCTGCTTTCAAGCAAGTCTGGTCTGATATCACACTGCTAAATTGCTGGCCGCACCTCGTTCGCCAGACAAGGCAAAAGAAAAGTTTGCTCGAGGACCCTGAGATGTACGAAAGTATGATCAAACCGCAAGTTCGTCTTCTTCGCTCGGCTCGCTCGCATTCTCAATTTGTGAAAATGAGTGAAATCGTGACAGATCACTGGATTGAAAATGGTGAAGCAGAGTATGCTCGCTGGTTTCGCCTCGTGTATCTCGTGCGGAGGTGGGAGAGATGGCATGTAAACGGATCCGGCATAGGTGGTCTTGTTCCGAGCCAACAAGGAATTGAATCTCACCATGCTGTGATAAAAAAAAAAACTTGTGCTCCTTCAACTCGGGCGTCTACCTCAGGAGTAGTCGACGGTATTCTTCCACGGATATTGCGATATGGTGGCGAAAACCTGTGCTTCAGTAGAGTCTATCATTTTGGAGTCGCTCCTGTCCCGCCAGAAATGTTGGCCAAGGCCTCGGCGTTAGTATGCAACGAACGCAATTATCGAAAGCTTCGTCGTGGAGCCGGAGCATCTAAACGGCTAGAGGCTGTACTCTTCAACGTCAGGAAGCACATGGTGGGAAGCGCTGGAATTCTGGAGAGCGATGTAGACGCGACCCGTGCGAGGACGTTTATGAGATCTCTTCAAGGTAAAATTGCGAGACGCATTTCAGCACAAGAACTGGAGTATGAGGTGATGTCACTTCACAGAGTCCTGGTCGGTCAAAAGAAACCGACGGAGAGATTTGAATTGTCGCCGCAATGGTCAGTTGAACGCATTTCTTTGCTCCGGCAGTATCTACAATGCACGTGCGAGTCGTATATTCGATCGGGATGGGTTTGTGCCCACACGTTGGCTACGTTATCGTTGATTGGTTTGCTTGACATTGGTGCTGCCATGACGCGTGTTCAAGCTCGTCGAGCACCCGGAAGACCACGAATTCGCCGATCAGCATTGTATACAGAAGAATCGGAAAATGGATACTTTTCGATTACAAGGCTTTTGCCGCTCTTCCTTAAGCGATCTGGCCAGCCTCTCGGTTGGAAGATCGTTGATGATTTTACTGTGTCAGTGGATGGAGTAGAAGAAACCAGCAACTTTGTTGGGCAAGTTGTCGGAGTGCGGCTTTCTAGAGGAGTGTTTGTTTGGTCGGCCAGGTTTGACGGCGGTTCCATCAGGGACTATGAGGCAGAACCGCTTGCTCAAGCAGTGGTGAAAGCTCACGGGCTCGGTGTGAACGTGACCGGGTAATGAGGTTCGTTGCATGCAGAAAAGATAAAAACCTTGAGCGAGTTAGTGTTAGATATCACATTTATATTGACAGTGTTGTTCTGCTCAAGAAGAAAAAGTGAGAGCAAAAACAAGAAAAAAAACAATACAAAAAAGCTCTCCGAAACGTGAGGTCTGCCCCTTGTTCATTATAATAATCTCTGGATATCTAGTGAGAATTACCAAGTTACAGCTCGATCTCATTCGTAGTTTTAAAATGTATAGAGGACAAACGAAACATAGAGTTGAATTTTGGGCGTATCTTTTTTCAAATCTTCGTGGATGTTTACTAAATCTTGTTAGATTCTGTGTTTTTTTTAATTTAAACCATTCATACAACACATGAGCCATACTCAGTATTTTATTCAATATATAAGCAACCAATGCACTAAATGTCATATCTTTTCACTGTGTGGTTGCAGAGTATAACGAGTCCAAAGTTATTAATCCGTTGTTGAAGTTATAATATAATAACCAATCAAATAGTCATGTTGACTGCATGTTACCATACCTAATCATTTCAAATTCAAATTTTAAATTTTTGGATTATGTTATGTTAACCTCCCGCTGTACGTCGCTTCTTTTTCTTGGCCGTGAATACAGCTTTTCTACGCTTTTTTCCTGCCTTATCTCTTGATTTCGATCCACCAGAACTGCGTGCATGTCGTGCCAGAATTGTACGAGTAGCAGGTCCATACCATGTACCGCCCTTGTGCAGCTCGGTTTTGCTCAACACGATGTCGAATTCTTTACATAGCCTGTCAGCCTCCTTTTCAACATTGTGCCTGGTCCCATCAATGCCATTGTACAGTGGAGAGATGTTGGACGCGAAAGCATCGATGGATGTCGGCAGTATTGTGGTTTCGCCTACTAGAATCGCGCCGTTCGATAAAGTAATCACGCGATGATAAAAGCCAGGAGGCACATATACGGTATCTCCTTTGTTTTGCTTACACGAGATAGTTGATCCATCTTTTAACCGGAAAAACCACTCCTTTTCTCCCTCCAAAAGACACCCGTAAGTTGCAGCGGCACATTCTTCAATATGGTACCCAGTTGTATGACCTTCGCCAAATTGAACTAGTCCCATGAAGAACTTCTGGCGTGGATCACCACACAATCTGTAGACGCCAATCCAATCCGACGGAATCGGCGTATTAGAGATGCAAAACGAATCATTTCCACTTGAAAGATTCACCGTCAGAAACTCCGAATACGCTTGCTGTAGCTCCCGGAAGTTAGTTGAGAAGTGTTCTGGTACTTTTCTGATTGCGTTAGGATTACTACGGACTAATTCGCACAAAGGAGCAGTGAGTTCAATTGAAGGGCTGCTGCGGACAATTGTAGGGAACAGCACGTCAGCCAAGCTTTTCGGGTGCACAGCACTCTCCACGACCTTCACTGTCATCTTCAACAATGCTGTAGTCCTTACTGAGTAACTAATTTTGTCTTTTTATTGTCTATTACTATCTTTGTCTACTACCTTCTCGTTTCAGTTGCTTTCAGCGCTGAAGGCAACACTTCAGCATCTAAACCCGCTGAAACAAGTTTCAGCGGTTTAATAATATGTTTTAATTAGCACCCATTAATCTCACAAGCGTCCGTGTGGCGTCGTTAAAAACTGAACTTTGAAATTGACGTCAAAGGAGTGAACGAGAACTTGACGTCAACATATCACTCATCGTCTTTTATGAGTGAAATGACAGATCTGGATATTTATCGCAAATAAATTCATCCGTGTACAGGTTATGACATGCAATTCTAGTGGTATAGAAAACGCTGTTCATGTAACTTCGAATGTGCTGCATGTATGATCTAAGCGATCTACACAACAATGTTGTTGTCAGCGATGAAGACAATGTCGCACACAGTAGTCAAATTTAGGGAGCTACGACGCTAGGAGACAGTCTTTCCTGCGGTTGAAAATGCTCGTTCCGATGGAACGGAGGTTGCAATGCACCCCAACCACTTGCATGCCAAAGGAACGATACGTGGAAAACTTGATCTGTTTTCGCTCCACCATTGCAAGGGATCCATATCGTCGTGGACAACAGCTGAGTCTCGAAGGTATTTCTTAAACTCCCACTTGCACTCCTCCAGTAGCGCAAATTCCGCGTCCTCAGTTGTTGTTTCTGCCCTAGTAATAACCCGACAGCCGACATCGATACTTGACTCTAACTTTTTTCTTTGAGATTGGGCGGTCAGGGGTTGCTGCTGGAGTTGGACTACTTAAGCTGTCTCTCGTGATAATTGCAGCGCTAGCGATAGCCACCATATTGTCAATGAAGAGCTCTGTCCATTTCGCTAATTGTAAACAGTTCGGTGTTTGTAAATCATGGATCCAGCAGTGGAATCCACGAAAACTCACCGTCCAAGTCCCCAAACCTTTTTTTTGTAGAAGGACAATGAAGCTTTGACGCACAGACTCCATCATTCCAATCGCTTTAGTAGTAAACGGCTCCCCTTCAACTTTTGCTGCAAGAGAATCAAATATATCTGTCTCTGCTAGCATAGACTGTAGAGACCGAATACCAGGTAGGAGGTACACAAGAGTTGGATAATTGTCCCCACCAAGTTCTTCAGTTGTCGCGCTGAACGGCCCGGTAACTCCACAAGGCGCTGTATCGTAAACCATTCTTCCGAGGTTGGGCGGTGAAGTCTCGACCGAGTATCACTAAACTCTTCAGCGCCCAATGGTCCACTTAAGTACGCAAAAAAAATCGTCCAATGCTGGACAAAGTTTGATAAGGCGTTGCAACATCAGCATCGCACTTCCCCATCGTGTAGGGCTGTCAGTGAGCACGTTAAATCGTGTTTCGCGGTCAGCTTGGAGCATCTTTAATCTGTTGGCACCCTTTTGAGAACGGTGGAAGTACACACCAAGTTTTCGAAAGTGCTGCACTGTTTTACGGACATCTTCCAAGTCACCTATCCGAATACTTTAAAAATCGAATTGTAGCGTGGACGAACCCCAACACTTCGTCGCAAATTGCATCGATATCTTCATCCGAAATGTAGTGCAGATGTAACCTCAGCCTTGCCAAGGTAGTTGCAGCGACGACAACTGGCCGGTCTCGTGTATACAAACTATCCAGAGCCCGGCTTCACTGGCATAATGCAACAGGTGATCACTCAGGTGATTATAACGACACCAGTGATGACTGGTATCGACAAACTAGTTGACACCAACAGCAGCCAACCAAGTAGAGCTTGGGCCCAAGCACATGCAGCCCCCAGCTACGAGTAGAATAGAACTACTCACTTGTCTTTTTGCCAAGTAATAGACTACGGCTAACATTTCCTGGGAGTTCGCCGACTCCCCTCGCGTTCCTTTTCTACTAGCGGACACTACTCGAAACTACCACATCCACGTTGCTTTCTTTGTCATCATCCAATTCAACCTCATACCCAGTGGAATCATTGCCAAAATTCATCCAATCTTTGACTGCAAGCTCTCTCACCTTGCACGTGGTTACGGCTCCAACAACTAGGTGAAACGAGTGAGCAGTGCAAACTAAGCTTTGAAATCCCAAGTCACCACAGTCGCCGGATCGAGTCAAAGCCTAGCAGCTTCGTGCAGCAACAGCTACCGACTCACTTCATCAAGGATTATGCGGCAATGGCGATTATGAAGGTGTTTATGCTGTGGTGTCGATTATGGGGCAGTTTATGCATTGCTAGGATGACGCGGCACAAGTCTCAGAGTGCACTAGGAATTCCTAGTGCCGTACAAGTAGGAACAGAAGTCCTGCTTTCATTTTGCTCATTAATAAATTTGCTACTTCGGCAACAACCCGGATATCGCGATACACAGGCTTTTTCTGATATTTGTGCCACCATCTCTCAGAAAACGAATGCAGCTGTCGCGGCTAAGGCCCAACTTCTCAAAGCATGATGAAAGAGCTCCGGCAATACAGGCAGCATCGTGTTTTTTGGGTAGACATGTGACTTCAAGAGCTCATCCATTCAAAGTAAAGTTTTCATCCAAGTAGCGCAGTGTAAGGCTCATGAAGCTCTCTGCATTCAGCGAAGTTCAAATATCCAAGGATACGGGAAAAAATTCGCACTCGCTCCGTGATGAAAGCAGAGCATGAAGTGAAGCGCGTAGCTCCGACACTTTTTGTCGTATACGACAAGTCACAGTTTTCCTTACAGGGATGTGAATTTCGTCGGTCACACTGTCATCAAATTTGACGTTAAAATGCAAACATCGACAGCACTAGTGGCGGCACTTTTCGCCAACGCGGTGTTGAAACTACAGTCCCTTGACCAGGGTATTATCTACTGCACCAAGTGGGATTTCCTCAGCATGGAGCTGGAATTTCCATTTGAGGCAAGCGATGAAGGCGTCAGAGTCTCTATCAAGGTGGCGTGCTAGAGGGTTACTAAATGGTGTGTAGAACCCTGACGCGAGCTGTCGTCCAATACTTTAACTATTGTTGCTCCACTCGACTCTATTCGCGAAATTTGGTTAAACTCATTTTGCAATAAATCAGTGCATTAGCAGCTTTCTTCTGATAGGGAATGCTAAATGCACCTCATTCTTTCAGTCTATAGTCTGGCCACTATTGACTTTG